GCATAGACGACTGTTAAGCAAAAACTTAAGTAAATACCTACGAAGGAACAACAAGACATCGCGCTCTAGTTCAAAGACTCACTTATGTTAAGAAAAACTAAATGGACTGTGTCAGCGCTAAGAGAATTATCTTGACTGACGCACGGCATATTTCTCTAAACTTGGTGTAGCTTTAGTTTTAGCTACAGTGTACAACTCAAATCTGAAGATCGCACTATCCGTGGAAATTCAAAATCCTGAAAACCACACTATAGAGCTGGGCCCAGAGTCATACTGACATGGCAGGAAATATAATCACATTCACGGACAAAGAAACTTGCATGCATGCATATAGTTATTCAGGTACAGTCATTTCGGAGAAAACCAAAAAAAAATAAAATCTTTATTCAGCCGTAATAAACAGAGTTGAAAGGATATAAAACACTTTACAACTGCATCTGAAATCAAATCCTATCAGGGACACCTACAGAAGCATAAACCACAGGAAATGATTACTCAGTATGCATGTAACAAACCGGCTTCATGACCTCTAAATATAAGACTTAGTGCGGCAAAAACAAGATTTACTCAGTCAAAGTTTAGAATGCTACACGTCTTGCACTGTGTAGTGCTAGTAAACTTCGCGCGAGAGAAAAAAAGAAAGAGAACCACTGTTCAAGCAGACTCTCAAGGTCACGTTTCACATTATCACGAGCTTATGAGTTGTGTTTGGCCTATCAACGCTTTCAGTGGTGAATGGAGTGTGGCATCATTATGATGGGCTGTATTAGAGGAATTCCAGAGGGCAGGGACTGAAAAAATGCACAGGGAAGCCGTCCACTCCAAGTGGCTTCCTTCTCTCTCACTGTGTGTACATTTTCGAAAAGATTTTGTATTAAAGTGGCCTGTATCCTTTGATCTGTTGTGAGTGTAGAATAATTTATAAAGCACAAAAACAAAGATAATGAATCAAGATTTCACTGTTCAAAAAAAAGCAATATTTGTCTGAAAAAAAAAAATTCGTGCAGAGGGGTTCACCTGAAAAAAATTCCTGCACAAGCAGTGAGCGAAAAAAAAAATTCGTGCAAGCTGAAAATTCCCCACCCCCCCATCACTTTTCTAATGGTCCGTCCCTTATTGGCAAGGATGTCATGCACTAGTTCACAGGATTTAGATAGATAGACACCTTTACTTTAAAAACCAATTGCAAATATATACATGTAATCACACAGAATAGTCCGACTTCAGAAAGCTTAATATATAACATCCCTGTTATCAGTAGAAGCCCTGAGTCCACTAACTAGACTATGCTTATTTTATTACTTAGTTAATTGTTGTTGTCAACCATGTGGCGTCACAAGTGTTGTCAACCGCTGAGATCTTCGCAGGCTCAGAAATCGCGAAATGGACGCACTTTAGAAGCACAATTTTAGCCCCGATCCGAAAAACTTCTTCATGGTTGCAGTACGTTCACTTTTAAAAGCACTTTTCCGTTATTGAAAAAAATTAAATTCTAAAAGGACATTTGTGGCACTGCAGTAGAAATTTAATTCAATAACCTCCTGGGCCGAGTTGTTTAAAGCGGGGTTAACATAACCCGGGGTTAGTGCAAGATTTGAATTAAGATTTGAAAGCTTAAAAAGCATTTCAGTTTTAATTCTTTTGTCTACAAGTTGATGAAGCTCTTAAGCAGGGGAAATCATCCGAGAAAATGCTTTTGAACACAAGAAAAAGAAACCAGGGTTAAATTTAACCCGGGTTAAGCGCTAATCGGCTTTTGAACAACTGGGCCCAGAGTCGTAGCAATATATTTACAGAAGCAGAGAAATTAATGTGCCCAGTAATGTACGTAAATACAAAACTTTGGATAAAAAAATACATAGCCTGCTGGCGTATGTATATAACTACCACTTTTTCGACATTAGCATTAAATTAAATTCAACATGGCCAAATTCAGTCTTTAAATGGGCCTTAGATAACATGAGGTGAAATGTAAGTTAATAAGACTGAGCCCGTCGGACTTCGAGTCGTTATCATTTGTCTTAAGTTTTAACTGCATCTGAAATCAAATCCTATCAGGGACACCTACAGAAGCATAAACCACAGGAAATGATTACTCAGTATGCATGTAACAAACCGGCTTCATGACCTCTAAATATAAGACTTAGTGCGGCAAAAACAAGATTTACTCAGTCAAAGTTTAGAATGCTACACGTCTTGCACTGTGTAGTGCTAGTAAACTTCGCGCGAGAGAAAAAAAGAAAGAGAACCACTATTCAAGCAGACTCTCAAGGTCACGTTTCACATTATCACGAGCTTATGAGTTGTGTTTGGCCTATCAACGCTTATTTCTTGTTGTTTTGGTGAATGGAGTATGGCATCATTATGATGGGCTGTAGGAGAGGAATTCCAGAGGGCAGGGACTGAAAAAATGCACAGGGAAGCCGTCCACCCCAAGTGGCTTCCTTCTCTCTCACTGTGTGTACATTTTCGAAAAGATTTTGCATTAAAGTGGCCTGTATCCTTTGATCTGTTGTGAAAGTAGAATAATTTATAAAGCACAAAAACATAGATAATAAATCAAGATTTCACTGTTCAAAAAAAAGCAATATTTGTCTGAAAAAAAAAAATTCGTGCAGAGGGGTTCACCTGAAAAAAATTCCTGCACAAGCAGTGAGCGAAAAAAAAAATTCGTGCAAGCTGAAAATTCCCCATCCCCCCATCACTTTTCTAATGGTCCGTCCCTTATTGGCAAGGATGTCATGCACTAGTTCACAGGATTTAGATAGATAGACACCTTTACTTTAAAAACCAATTGCAAATATATACATGTAATCACACAGAATAGTCCGACTTCAGAAAGCTTAATATATAACATCCCTGTTATCAGTAGAAGCCCTGAGTCCACTAACTAGACTATGCTTATTTTATTACTTAGTTAATTGTTGTTGTCAACCATGTGGCGTCACAAGTGTTGTCAACCGCTGAGATCTTCGCAGGCTCAGAAATCGCGAAATGGACGCACTTTAGAAGCACAATTTTAGCCCCGATCCGAAAAACTTCTTCATGGTTGCAGTACGTTCACTTTTAAAAGCACTTTTCCGTTATTGAAAAAATTAACTTCTAAAAGGACATTTGTGGCACTGCAGTAGAAATTTAATTCAATAACCTCCTGGGCCGAGTTGTTTAAAGCGGGGTTAACATAACCCGGGGTTAGTGCAAGATTTGAATTAAGATTTGAAAGCTTAAAAAGCATTTCAGTTTTAATTCTTTTGTCTACAAGTTGATGAAGCTCTTAAGCAGGGGAAATCATCCGAGAAAATGCTTTTGAACACAAGAAAAAGAAACCAGGGTTAAATTTAACCCGGGTTAAGCGCTAATCGGCTTTTGAACAACTGGGCCCAGAGTCGTAGCAATATATTTACAGAAGCAGAGAAATTAATGTGCCCAGTAATGTACGTAAATACAAAACTTTGGATAAAAAAATACATAGCCTGCTGGCGTATGTATATAACTACCACTTTTTCGACATTAGCATTAAATTAAATTCAACATGGCCAAATTCAGTCTTTAAATGGGCCTTAGATAACATGAGGTGAAATGTAAGTTAATAAGACTGAGCCCGTCGGACTTCGAGTCGTTATCATTTGTCTTTCCAAGTTTTAATCCGGCCGTGTACAACGGTTAAAAAAACATTCCTATCATTTTGAACTAGCTGAGAGATCAATTGAGACGTTTCAACAACTACTTTTCAGTCACAATTTGTTACCAAAAGTAATTTAAAGATAACAGTGAATGTTATCCTCCAAAAAGCATGTAAATGTACGGCCTAAGCAGGTGAGTAACATCCTGAAAAAAAAAATCGAGCTTGACTTCGGGGAATGGAGGACTTGTCCACCAGCATTTACTTTCATCATTTCATCCGCAGTTCATGAAAAAAAAAATTATATATGATTTTAATCATGTGTTTTAGTTAGCAAAAGCTGCGCGGCCAGCAAGCTCCCAACATAAACTGTTGTACCGTTGTTTTGATCTGAGATTTTGCCCGCTGTAATAGTCTCCTCCACTAACTATGTTTTAAGACAAAAATGCTGCGGAGTTATCGGAGTTGCTTTTCCAGACAATTCGGCTGAAAAGGCTTTTAACGAAAAGCAAAAGTGAAATTGAGTATTTTCATCAACTACATTTTAGATACATCGACAGGCTTATATTTGTTTGTAAATGTTTTTCATTTTCTTTTTAGAATTCGTTTTTTTTTTCTTTATTTTACTTTTGTTTGCCGGCCATACTTTGTCATCTGGCCTTAAACATGAACGTTTTTCATAGCGGCGTTCTCTAACTTGGAAAAAATTCTAAAAATGCTAAATAATGCAATTTGTAGGTTAAAATGTTAAACTAATAAGACTTTGAACTACTAGGATGCTAAAAACATAAATTTCGAAATGTATACTAAAACGTATACAGGCATAACACCTAAATAATAGGATACGTACTTTCAGATACCAAAATACTACAAAATTCCTCCTAATATGTCGAACGTACACCGTTTTCCAATTGATTCTTGAATCGATCGTTACTGACACCCAAGGAATTCTACGATTTACAAACGCATAAGTACAGTTGCTCTTGAGCTAAGTTAGCTTGACTACTTTTGCTCCGCCAGTTTACCATCATGGAGCTTAGTCTTCCAAAAGCCATTTTATACCCTCTGGTAGATTTTCTTCACTGAAACGGTCAAATACATTTCAGCATTTGATTTTTCTTTATATATATTTTTCTGTCCGTGTTCTTGCCATGGGGATAAGTTTACCGTTTTTCTTCATAGTATTTAAGATTTTTACTGATCTAGGTAGATCCTGCTGCTCTTTCTGGTTTGTTGCTGTGGTTTTGCTTTTAAAAGTATTTTAGATTTTCTTCGCACATCACTAGAGAAATTATTTTATTTCCTTTTAAAGTTCGCTTTGTTTTGTTTGTTTCTTTGTTCGCTTGAATGTGTTTTCGTGCTGTTTTCCTTTCATGTTAGTAGCTATGTTGTTAGATCTCTTTTGTAATTGTTTTGAGAACTCGTTCAATAAAACATCCATATCATCTCTGACGTACAAGCAGTTTCATGTCTACAACATTGTACAAGAGCAGATTGCTTCAATTGCGCATCTACGTACCAGACCCCTCTCAATTCCATCCGCGAGTAAAATGCTGTCTAGGCAAGATTATGCCTCTCATTAGTTGTGTACAATATTGTGAGAATCACGATATAGTTTGGCGATTTCGCTTTTATGCTATTTCGTGTAGCCTATGCAAAGCCGCCTCCTTCCCTCAGACAAAATCGCTTCAGTTCGAGGGGAGCCGGACCGCTGTAGACAGGATATGTTTTGGCCAACCCACATAAATTATAGAGACGAAACTTATTTACCAACACCTTTTGCAGCCACTCTCGCTCGATAATTGGTGTTGAAAAGAATTGTATGCGAGGTAAAGCATAGTTAATAGAGTGGAATGGTTATGAAGCCCATCAGACCCCTTTGCTATATGTTTTTTTGTTGTTATATGTAGACCTGACGGTGCACAAGGTTCAATGGCGTTTTCCTAACATTTTGATCTTATTGAGCAATGAGAACATCCCATTACTGTATTCCGTCACAATTTATCAACAGAAAACAAAGGATTGTGCACCGTCAGCTTTAATTTTTCAACATAAACTGCAGCACAGTTTCTGTTATCTTTGATAATAACCGCCTTTCATAACCAGTCTCTTCTAATAACTACGGGCAAAGCGATGATTGATTTTGCACAAAGACCTAAGGGGTAAGAAACCTGTTAGGAGCAACCGTAAATAGGAAACTTAAGCAACCATGACGACGACGTCAATAAAAACGTTGCTAAAAAAATAAATTTGCGTACTTTCTATAAATGTGGTCGTTTTGTGGAGTTGAATTCGCCTTCGTGTATTCAGGTCCTCCATAAAACGTAGCAAAAGGATGTTTCACGTGGTAGTGGACCTCAAGGAATGTACTATTCTCACTGCATACATAATTGGCCTGTGATGCGGGAAATAAGAAACACCTTCAAATTCAGTCGAGTTGGGCCTGCGCGCTATTAGCATGATGCAATGCGGCCCTTGCTTTGAATTGCTCAGTTTTTGCCCGCCTCTTGGCCAGTTCAACGGAGTTCAGTGGAAGTGACTTCAAAATGTTGCCCCATCCACTTCCCCTGGTGGCAGTTGATGCCTTTGTTCGGCATGCCTATTGTCGTGGTAGTCGCGGTTTCCTTCCTGCCTGAGTATGCAGTGCGAATCTTACACTACAAAGCGTGATGCACGTGCAGAGCTGTTGTTTTACTCATAAAACCAATTGTCCTTTTTTTTAAATCAGCACCCTACAAATCAGATGTGTCTACTATTATTTTTAAGAACATTGTATCATCTCGCACATACGCGTGATTATTTAGTTCGGTCAAAGGGCAAAACATAGGGCAACCACTTGCAATATTTGTTTCCCTCCTTGGTCTCTGAAAAGAAGAGCTACTTGGATCAGGCCTGAATGCATCGATCACGTGCTCTACGTTATCCTGGTCCATTAACATAAAAGTGACCTTCTGTCTGAATGGCCAGCGGAGTAGGGCGTCATATTGACCGCGCATGACCACAAAGAACACTGAAATATGTGTTCCTCGGCCCATGCCATCACCGTTTAAATAGATCCGCGCGCACATCTTGTATCCATAGCGACCAGTGAAAAAGCACGGGCTGTAAAAGGATATTTGTTGTCCACTAACGGCTTCGTTTCGTCTACGGGCAAATTCAGTTATCTTCCAGAGCAACTGGCCATCATAACTCGAAAACTCTTGTTGCCTCACATACTCCTCTAAGTCAGCAAGGGTCACATTTCGTAAAGCAAGTGTATGCTCAATGGATTCAATCCGTCTGTCAATTCTCCTCGTACTCTCTTGGACGCCTTCTGTTTGTCTTTTAACCATTCCAACCTCTCTACTTGTCTCCACTATAGTACGATTACTTTCAACTAAAAGCACTTCGTGGTCAGCCGTTTTGTTCTCGAGATTGGTGATTCTTCTTGTTATATCCATATCTGGTGAATTAACGTCAGCATCAGATGCTCTAGGAGCAGATGCTGCTGCTGCTGCTCCGGATAAATTTACCGTGGCCACTTTTCTCTCCAATGAGGTTATTCGTTCACTATGCTCTCGTAATTTTTCTTGAAAATTCCTAGATGTTTCTGAGTTGTTTTGCATCCTATTGAGAAGATCTTGTATGACACTATCATAGTTTGTAAACATCTGAGGGCTTCTTGACATAACCATGGGATCACGTCTAACAATGGCATCTAAGTCTTTGCTGATACCAAGGGCAAACTGAAGAACAAGAATGTTGTGGCGAACTATTTCTTGTGTCAAATGTTCCCTCTTCTCCCTTTGGTTGAGTATCTGATAAAATTTAAAACGGGTTTGTTGTAAAGAATAACCAAGGACGTCACAGAATGTCGTTTACCTATGTACCAATAACATGAAAGCTCAAAACGTGCACTTTAAAACTCTAATTCACTGAATAACTAATACCTTTATATATTAGATATAATTAATGCACTATTTTAATGCCACAAACAACAACAACAATAACGGCTACAATACTCAACCACTAACCTCTGTCTTGGAACATCCAATCTGTGAGAATGGACACGGACCCTGTACTTCCTCACAGTCTCCCACGATAGGATTTTGATGATCTGCCAACTAAAATGTGGGAAGCTCTCTATGAATAATTTCTATATATTGAAATCCCAGCCTCACATCCTCTGGGACATAGGACAAACTTAAAAGTGGCTAATTAGGTGTCATTTGACTCACGTACATTTGACGTTACAGCCGCAACAGGCCTGAATTTTCTAGGGCGTTTACATGAGACCTTTCCCCGACAGGTGCAGGGAAATTAGCGTTGTTATTAATGAACTTGTTAATGTTTATTGCCCAGCTATTTGTCTCGGGAATCGTGCCCCGGGGCTACAATTTAATGGTTCAATGTAATCCTGAACAAACACCTGGCTCGGAGTGTGTGTGTGTGTGTGTGGTGTGTGTGGTGGTGGTGGGGGGGGTCCTTTTTTTAGTCAAGAAAAGCTCCCCCGGGGTGTTTAGAGATTAAAAAACAATCTTACCTTTCCCCGAGGAATCCCCACTTTGTTGCATTTGTCACAAACAACTGGATAAGCTGGACATTCGTTCTCTTGATGTTGCTACGACAAAAACAGCGCATAGTTAATACCATCTGGAAAAGGGAGCGCACTTCTTTTCAAACCTATTTGCCCTGTCTTTTTAGGCAAGACGTTTAAGGCTGACATGCCCCTGTCACTTCATTTAGCCTCAAAACCTCTATGGTGAGGATATTGTCATTTTTTTAGAGACTGTAATGAAGACTAATATATATTGGTTAAGCCAAAGCTAAGAGCAAAGCTCTCGTGGAAACGTTTAAGAAATTTCTCTCTGAAATAAGTTTTTTGTGCCTGTGATCACTGAAATACCAATAACTAGTCAGCGGGGAATTTAAAAACCACTTCATCCCAATGAGTTGTACACCTGAGTCCGCGATACAGTCATGTGATACTGGTCAGCGGATACCCTATTTTGACAGCTGTCAGTTGATCATAACATGGATGTCCAATATCAAGTTGAACACAACTTGTTTATGCCTTAGTCTTCTAAGCTAATAAGCTAACATGAATGGGCGGACGTACGTACCGTCATCCTGATGAAGACTATGCTCGCATGACAAAGCGGACACTTCACTAGTCTGTACAAGCATTCATTTTCCAAATGCTCAGGAAGATCAGCTTTTTTTACCAAGACACCACACTCAGGATGCACACAGGGGAGTTTCAGGAATTCGCAGCCGTTTGTATGAGCCTGTTAGAAAATTATTTATACTTTTAACAATGCCGAATTTAATTGTTAATCTTAAGACCGGTATGGTCACTGGATTCCAAATTTGACAAACTAAAAAAATTACATCAATAAATTTTGACCATGCAGCTATGGATTAGCAGTAGCAAAAAATATAATACTCGTACATCTTAAATTTATTTTTGTGGTCTTGTAGACTTGTGGAGAACCACATACCTCCAAATTTCTGACCTCCCCTTTCCACTTGCATCCATCCTCCATGAATGTGCAGAAAACTACGAGAGCGAAAACCTCACGACGCATAAAATTGTCTGGAAAGACCTGAGTTATAAAAATATTGAGCGCTTATATATTTGAGTACCTTTAATGTTGTTTAAATCACTTCTTCCCGTGCTACTGCAAATTTACCCATGGGTTTCCGCGGGAATTTTATCGTCTCAATGCTAATTTATAACTTGATGAAGTTGAAAAAAGAAGACAAACAAACAACAACCATAAATTAAATAATAAAACAACAAAAATCACGATATGGTCACGGTTAAAGTTGATCAACTGTCAACACTCTGAAGGTACACTAAAAGAAAAGACGTACCTCATTTTTCTGAAGATGTTTCTGGTCCACGAGGCAAACCATTACTCCTGATAATTGATCCCTAAAGGTAACAGTATATTTGTTACAGATTTTATTGGCCCGATGCTCAGGTGATTTACAAGATGACGGTGTTTAACTTTGTTCATTACAATGATCGTTAAATTAATAAAACATAAAATTAATCTTCCACCAGTTTTAATAACGTTTACTCTGAAATATTTGATATTGACTCAGAAGGTAAAGGTCCGCTCTCATAAGGCCAGCTAATGTTATTACATAGTACTGCTCATTAATAGAAGCACCGAAAAGGTCCATATAGATGTTCCTGTTAGTATCAATATTTTCACACACTATTGGTAATTCAACCGGGATTTTTTCGATGAACATGAGATCGTTATGATCAGTCATCTTGAATCAATACTATGAATGATGTCCATGTTTTAGTCAATTTTTTTATCTCAGGTAATTTTTATTTTTCTGTTGTTTCAGCTTCATTAGCATACATTACCATACCCAAAAACAAAAGAAAAACAAAAAATTACCTGGGATAAAAAATTAACTACAACATCCACATCCCCTGTATAACTGCTAAGCAACCTCACATTTCTCATTCTAGCACGGGGTAACTGGGACATTATATACATATAGCTGAGAATAGCGATGTGGTACAATATAGTCAACTAGTATAGACTGTAGAAAGATATCCAACAAACGTTTATGTTTATGCATATTTTGTTTTTTAGTCATATAATTTGATTTATTCGGTTTTTTTGTTCTGTCATTCAATTTTCCCCCTCTCTCGCAACCCTAGACCCTATTAGATCACTTTCTAAGATCGAAGTTGAAGCTGGTCTCCTCAGTAGATTGTCCTGTTCCACGCTTAGCAATTTCTAATATCACGGACCCCCAGTGCTAGCTTCTTCCTCGTAAATACGATTCTATGGTTTATATATGAAGTGCAGATTAAATAATAGGCCTTTTACATTAGTTGATCACGTGATCAACTTTCGATAAACAGAAAATTAAAACATTTAGCTTTTGAAAAATTTGGTTAGCACGAGCTAAAAGAGCATATTAAAACTAGGTGACCTGTAAATTTTCAGCCACATATCTCAAAAGTAGCGATTGCAACGGCCGCCGAAATTTAGAGGGATTTGTATGAGAAAGAACCACTCTTGCCACCCAGTCACGCTTGAGTGGTTTTCCATACACATTCTTGTAAATTCTGAAATTTTTAAACTGCCGTTAAATGTTTCCCTTACGCATTTGAGACTCAAATTGCCTGTTATGAATTAAAAGGAGATTTTAGTCCGCGGTAATGCTTAAGCAAATATTTCACGACAGTTTGAAAATTTCGAAATTTACAAGGATTTGTATGGAAAACCATTCAAGCGTGACTGGGTGGCAAAAGTTGTTTTTCTCATACAAATCCTTCTAATTTTCGGCGGCCGTTGAATGAAATCGCTACTTTTGAGATACACGGCTGAAAATTTACAGGTTACCTATAATAATTTTAATATGCTCTTTCAGATCATGCTAACAGAATTTTTTAACAGCGAATCGTTTTCGTGTTTACCGAAAGTTGATCACGTGATGAACTAATACAAAAGGCCTATTGCAACGAAGTTAATTATCCAGAACGAAAAATACAATCGTACATACCATCCCATATTATAGCTTGACACTATACATATTTTTACAGTAACTATTAATTTTTTCGAAGTGATATAATTATAAACTTACTGTATGAGATTTCCCAGACAAGATTGACAATAGAAATGACCACAGCTTGTTTGCATGGCCTCTCTCAGTAAACGTTGACAGTATGAACAAAAGTACTTCGCATCAATCTTCGCATTGTCAGGATTTGCCAAATGATACCCTGGCATAGTGGTGAGACAATGGAGTACCCTTACCAAAAGATCATAAAACTTTGCGTGGCGAAATAACTCCAATGCAAGTCTTCTCCTCTGGCTCTACAGGCCGTCTGGATTCACTCTTGGTATGTTAACTACAAAGGCATAGGCAAATTGTAGTTTATCTCAGAAATTATCATGATTTTTTAAGGAAGAAATATGGAAACGACGCACGCTCTGCTCCTGGTGGTGACAAAGACCAATGGTTATGTTTTTGTGCTTTTCTTTGTTGTTCTTCTTTTTCTTTAAATCATACAGTTAAGTACTTTTAAACACAGATAGAGTTTTAGCAGTTTCTTACTGACTGAATTCTAAACATACAGTCGAACCTCCATTAACGGCCACCTCTCTACAATGGCCATACGTTTTGTCCGGCGGACAGTCCATTGATTGAGTTTTGTTTAAGGTAGCTCGATACAATATTTTTATAGTGACACCATCCATCTTTGAATCTCTTATACTTAAACAAATTTATCTTTATGGAAAAACCATTATAACGCATTTATTACACATAGACTAAACTCAGGACTAAACTTCAATATGATATTATTTTTTGGGCGATCGGAATAAACATCACGTGGTTATGACGTCACAATAGTGTTGGCTTTATATCGAATTCTAGCCCTTATCGACCTGATTCAGTTGTAGTATACTATGTTAGAAATTAACCCCCTTTGGTGTCTAGCAAGGTCTAGCTAGGTCTAGTCTATGACGTCACCGATTGTTATAACCTTACGAAAAAGTGGATTCCCTTTATTAATATGTATAAGTGTCTTCCTGCATACTAATTTGGATTTCCTCCAATTTTTTTTATTCCCTCCACCGCAATTTTAATATTTTCCCTCAATTTCATTATTTTCCCTCCTCAATGTTATTATTCTCTCAACAATAAAAATGAGGAGGTGGAGGAGGTGGAGGAGGTGGAGGAGGAGGAGCAGGAGCAGGAGCAGGAGGGAAAACAATAAAAATGAGGAGGTGGTGGAGGAGGAGGAGGTGGAGGAGGAGGAGCAGGAGCAGGAGCAGGAGGGAAAACAATAAAAATGAGGAGGTGGAGGAGGTGGAGGAGGTGGAGGAGGAGGAGCAGGAGCAGGAGCAGGAGGGAAAACAATAAAAATGAGGAGGTGGTGGAGGAGGAGGAGGGAAAATAATAAAATTGTGGAGGAGGGAAATAAATGAAATTGAGGGAAAATATTAAAATTGTGGTGGAGGGAATAAAAAAAATTAAGGGAAATATTAAAATTGTGGAGGAGAAAATTCAAGAATGGGGGGCTTGCTTTCTTTGACTATTTTAATAGATTTCTTTCAAATCGCTGTGTATTTGACTCTTTTTGTTTTAAACGGTATCTCGTGTCTGATTTTATTGCTAGCAATTATTAGTCGACTAGACTAGACCTAGCTAGACCTTGCTAGACACCAAAGGGGGTTAATCTCCGACCTAGTATACTACTTTCAGTGCCCTTACATACGATCCTACTCTTATCCGGGAAGGGAAACTATAGCGCTATCTCAGGGAACTTAGGGAAAAAAGGTCAATTATATTTGATCCGAACTATGGAAATCACTCACGCTGCACATACTTTGGGTGCTTTTTTTCCGCTATGCCGGAAGTTAAACAAAAATCTAGGACAGGAATTTCAAGATATATTGGACTTTCTACAGTCATGTAATTATGCATGAACTGAAATATTTTAAGTTGCTTAACGTAGGCGGAAATTGGGTAAATATCGAAGCGTCATGTGATAGATTTGGATAATTTTTTGCTTTGGATTTCCTATAGTCTCGATTTTAGAACAACATCAAATTCCCATGCAGCACGTGAAAAGTTGCCCTCCGTAATTTACTTACAATATTGTTTTCTCCGTTTCTACAGCATTACCATATTATCCAAATCTACCCCATCACTTCAATATTTACTGCATTTTGCGCCTACGTTAGAAAACTTAAAATGTTTCAATGGACACGAAATAGGGCAGTTTTTAGTACACTGATCAACTGCAGCACTCAAATTTTCTAAACGCCGTTTTCGTGAAAGTAGCCTTAGAAATTGCAAAGAGAGCTCAGCTCAGAGATTCACATGTTTTCATGTCTTTAGAAATCGTGCAAGTCCACTTGCGTTCAGCTGACTGAGTGTATAAGGGTAATTTGCAAAAACAGATGAGTGATAAAAACTTTCTGGAAACATCCCAAAATGTAGCAAATTTGTTTGCATAAAGTCCAGTCTTCAGTTCATGTATAATTTATAGCGTTTTCGTAGAAATTCCAAGATATCTAGAAATTTCTCTCATAGATTTCTTCAGAAGCTTCGCAAAACGGAAGAAAAAACCTATCTACAATGACAACGGCCACTAAAGCGTGTTCCCAACTGCAAAAATGACCTCCCGACAACGGCCAGATTTTTCCTCGACTGATGAAAAAGCCAAGAATGTTCATAAAATTTGATGCGAAAGGCGCTTCCCGAAGGAGGGCGTTGAGGAGAAGTTCGACTGTATTGCCCTTGAAAAATGCATTACCAAGATTGCTATAGTCAATACAGTACTGTGCAGAAGAAATGACAGCGATCTTCGGTACTGTACTAAAACCATTTGTATTTACATCATATACCTTCCAAGAGGCAATTTTATTGATAACATTTATAATGTTGGTTTGGTTGCTTGTCGTCGCTGTTGGATGTGGGCTAAGATAACAGTAAGAGGAAAAATGTGGTTTTGATATTTGCTTAATTTCTTCCTTTACATAAAAAAAATGTATATATTTATGTCATGACTTGAGTTGAAACGACTACCTGAATTCAGAACGTAACGACTGGAACGTTGCGAATGAGAACAATTTACATAAGGAAAGGAATTACTTCAACAAAAATGTCAATACCTTTAGGGTTCGCTTCTTAGCTCACATCTATTTATCTGTTAGTGATGTCCTGGAGCTACTCGCAATTCAAAGTTATCGGTGAGACCTGTAGCAACAGACAACGCAAATGCGTAAGCAAGATGGAAAAGATAATTTGGGAGGGGGGGAGCAGGGGGAGAGGGTGTTTTTATTTGTGTTCTGTAAAGTAAGGGATATAGCCGCGAAAACTGAACCGAGGTCAAACGGGAAAACTATGGGGGAGAGGGCGAGTGAAAGAAGAGTCGCTGCCTTTTTTTTCTCTCGCCCCATCCCCCACCATAATATCGTTTGAACTCAGTCAGTTTACTTTACGGAACACGAAATACAAACCAAAGAAACCAGCCGCTGCTACGGTAAATAACGAAGCTATGAAGATTGCGTGCACAGTGCCTTGTGAATTGCTATGTTTGAAAATTTTGCAAAGATCGATCTTTTTTTAAACCTTCGCGTGATTTGATCCGTCAATCAAATCGTACTTTTTAATGGCTTCCTCTCTGATTTTGTTGAGATCACTTCGCGTGTAAATATATACTCAAACAATTATTCTTTTCAATCTCGGTGAATAATGGCTTTAGGAACATCTACCTCGCCGCCTCGCTTTCAAAGAATAATTGTTAATTGCTGTCATCGTAAAGGATAACACAGGTGCCTGTTAACTATCACTGCACTGATTACTCAGAATATGCTTTATCCTTACCGCCCTAGGGAGCTCTTGGTTGTCTTTAAATGATTCAGAATTATATCGGTGCTTTCGTCCCTTTTGCTAATTCGATATTTCCACGCTAGTAACAACAACAACCAAAATAGATAGAGGACTTAAATCAAAAGACTGACATTTTACCTTCTAGTTTGTTGCGAAACTTTAAGAAACTAAAAACCCGCGACTAATACTTTCTACCACAATAATTCGGTTTCGTATTTCAGCTGGTATTTGCAAAAGCACAACGATCAAAATGACCTTTTTTCTCTTCGTATCAGTGCTTTTCTACACTGACATAAAAACGGCAAACAGAAATTAAAGAAAAATAAAAAATGTCAAATGCTAAGGATTTTATGAGCGTAGAAGTATTCTCAAGCCAAGGTAATTAATCGGTTTCGCGTAAGATCAATATCAAAAAATTATGCATATTGGGATTAGCATAATAGTAGTCTTCATAACATACTCATCCTCATCAGATTTAATATATTTAATAAGCAGCTGATGTGAAATTAAATAAAGACAGGGTCTTCACAGACAGGTTATGAACGCGATTTGTTCAGGAGCAATCAATAATGAAAGCCCTTTCGCAATATTTGCTTAAAAGCCATGTTCAGTTACTGGGCAGGCAATTGATATCATATCTCATTTATTTAAATATCTGTAATGCTTGCAAAAGCCAATAGCCCTATCAGCCATTGGCTGGTATCAAAAGGGGCCCTGGGTAAATTATGACTACATGACAGAAATTTTTAAGTTAAAAATTACTTTAAAATTATGTGCAAGAATTTTCAAAAGCGCCTAAAACGGAAATTACATGTCATCATAATTTGTTTAAGATCAAAACGAAAAATAATAGAAGAAACAATTAATGGCTAAGATGAAATCTAGGGAAGTCCTTAAAAATGGTGAGCGACGTAGCTTCTTTTATTGACGTGGGTTAATTTATTAAAGAGAACGGCACCTAAAAATCCTAGCGTTAACTTAGGATTCGGTAGATGAATGTCGTTGCTTTGTCTTGTCTTGTAAGTGTGAATAGTGCGATTTCTAATAAAATAATCCGATAAATATGGAGGAACTAATTCATTTAGATATACATTCATGGGCTTTTCTTTGTGTTTCCAGATCCACCCACCCTAACATTTGAAACGTCAACTCTCTACAGCCCTCGGCCTAGTCTGCCGAACGTAAACTGGTTATTTTTAAATGCCCCACATAACCAAACCCTCAAATATGCCATTTGTTTTTAACCCAAAAATGAAATCTAGTCACAGCAACAAAAAGACCTAATTCAGAAAGAGTCACGTGACGGCTGACGTCATCACCCTAGATGTGATATGGGAGGATATTTTATGGCGAACGTTATCTTATTGTGGTAGTGACATTCTTCTACGCAAAAAATTGTCAGTTATAAAGCTTTTAAAAAAATCCCTCAAAGGATTCTGGGATATGATAATTATAATTTACTTTCATAATTACTATTAATCTAGTGAAACATTTTAATTAGGCCATGATCGATCCGTATAATAAACTCCCATTTTATGGTCTTCTAAGTCATTTACCAATTCTATTCTATTCATTTACCAATCCTTTCGAGGGGAAGTGTTAGTTTATGTTATGGTATGGTTTCGGATTTAATTTAAAGACCAAACGAAAAAAAAGAAAATAAAGTCAGTCTACATACGTTTTGTTGATGCAATGTTAAACATATTTTGGAACAATACTGCCGTCTGCCATCTTAAACGGAGGTAAAAAGTCTTGGGAAGGATTATAAACTTAGGTATCAAGAGCTAAACAAGACACTATGACTTTCATAGTGTAGCAGGTATACAACAGGTGTAAATACATAGTAAATTCTTAACACCCAATTAACAGGATGGAATTTGCTTGTACTTATGTAGGAGGAAAAATTACCTAATACAGATTTTTACTGCTTGTTAGAGCAAGAGAAGCCAGTGGATTTCCTGCCGAAATTTATGTTTAGTGAAGTTGTTGTTGTTGCGGTGGGATGCTGGGCCTGCTGGCTGGATACGGGGCCACAAAGGAGCAGTCTTCAATTATTTCACGATGGATACGAATGTAAACAACTTAACCGTCAGACGTACACGTAAAGTCATACCACCACCGTGGTACAAGGGACGGGGTGGGGGGGCGATGGAACTCCCCACACCCCATGAGTAGGCCTTTCCCAACTGCGCTCGTAAAATCCTAAAAAAGTGCTGGCAAAAATGTCTAAAAGTGCTCAAAAAGTGCTCAGAATCTCAAAATAGTGCTCAAAAAGTGCTAAAAGTTGTGAAAAGTTACCTCTAAGCTTTTCGTAAATATGTCATTTTTTACTGAAGTAACTAACAATCTACTTTGCGTAGTGTTATTCGACAGGTTGTTACGAAAGGTTGATAAGATATAGAACAATAATATTTTTAAAAAAGTAAAGCCGGTTACGAATTGTAAATAAATTCAGCAGTACTAGTGCAAAGCCTAGACATCAGATGATTTAGAAATTTGAGATGGCAAACGCATGATACATCAGCCGATCAGAAACTTCTGTTCTAAACCCTCAGTAAGGATAAGTCCACGTGCCTTTCCATGACAACGGTCTTTTATTCTTGACAACATCATTAGTTATTCAAATTTATGACCTGAACACGATTCTCGTTGCGAGCGACACACAGTTTTTGCTTTTTGCTTTTGCTTTTGCTTTTTGTGGTAAACAAAAACTTCAGGAAATATAGATCTTTCCAGCGATGCCCTGTTTTGAATATTCTGTACAATCCTAACAGAGTTACACTCACAAAAAAAGCAACATTTTGGAGAAAAATACACTGCCAATTTCGTTGTTTACCTACTATTCTTTGAAGATTAAATTTCTTCATTTTCTAAAAAGTTGGCCAGTCGCAATTCCATGCAAAAGAAAGACGATAAAGTGGGTAACAAAACTGCTAATAAGAAGAAAGCCAAAGCAACAAAAGAGAGCGAGAGATAGATTGAAATATACTGCAAAAAAAAAGTCTACGCATGCGTGGAAAACAAAAAAGCTACGGTAAAAATCCAGTTCGGTTGTACCCAAAATTGCAAAGCCAGCCAATAGGATTGCCTAAAAGTTTGTGTATCGATTTTTAATCGATTTGCTTCCTCTGAAGAACGTTGAAATCAGAACGTTCCTTGCCAAATTTGTCGCGCTTGTGTTTTCCCACTCGTGTTTTAGGATGGCTTGTTAACCAGCGAAATCCTTCGGGATACTGGCAAGTCACGAAAGGCGACCTAAGCCACATTATTTCTTTCCTTCATGATTCTTTTTTGTTTAGGTCTAGCTTTTTCATAAGGTTTTAGTAGCGTCTGGTTGCGGGCCGTGATTTCCGAAAGATTTTTCTATTCGGAGTTCCTGGGAGTTCGCCAGTTTTTGCCGAGCACAGCTAGAGTTCAGTTTTTTTTCTTTTCTTATCGAAAACACCTTGACGATGGGAGGTTAAATCGCGTAAATTTCAACTCGTACCCTTGGCGATTGGCGTTGAAATCGCGAAAATATTGTCCTCGTCGATCGACGACCCGCTTTCGGCATGGATTGGACTTCTGGATGGGACACGGATCAGGACATGAGTAAACTTATTATACCTTGGAATCAAGGATAATCATCGGAATTATGTTAAATTTGAGACCTTGGAAACACATTGAAATTAATTTTTAACCGTATCAAGAGCATCTTGGAATATTAAACTTTCATCTTGTATTAAAACATTGGAACTTTATCGAACTTTGTAAGCAAGCGGATGTTTTGTTTTGTTTTGTTCCATTAACCTAGATAGAACGCCATTATGCTTCCATAGACCAACGCATCCCACGGAAACGACTTTTAGGCGTCTTGTCTGTTTAAAAATCTATTTCTAGCCATTCTCATGCTAGTTAGCCGAAAACCAGTCCAAAGAAGAGGAATAGGTGAAAAATGCGCTTTTCTCGCCACTCGTCGGCCGTCACCAAAGGGTTAATCCGTAAGGCGGGATGATGATTAATTGCGGCAATTTATACTGCTACAGCGTAAGCATCGATACTTGATCGTTTTGTCGTCACGTTAACATTTTGATTCAAAATATTATTTTGTGTTTTGTGTTTTATCTCTCTATATATTATTTACGCAGTAAGCATGAAGATGTCACAAAAAAAAAGTTTTGCTTCTTAAAAAACATTTGTCATATTTCGCCTCTACGTCACCATAACGGCCACCTCTCCACAAGGACCACTTTCCCGGGAGGGGGAGGGAGTACTCCCTATGATGGCCGATACGGGGAGGTGCTGCCCAAAAGGGGTACCTTTTTCAGGCTTCAGGTATATGAAACGGCAGGGATTCACTAGTTGAAGTATATAAAATGGTAGGGACACCAGTCATTTGGGTCTGCAAAAGGGTAAAAAATGGCTAACAGTTCAATTGTATGGTTTTCAAAAGTTGAGAAAACGTTCTATTTTTGTGATTGATTCTCTTCAAAAAACAGTGTATTTACAGCAATTTGAAGGGATGCAAAGTTCCAAACAAGGTATGTCAAAGAGTACCATTTGTCAATAGAAGGTATACGAAAGGGGTATCTTTTTCGTGAAAAAGGGGTTGGACCTCGGGGCGGAGCCTCCCCGTATAAAATTAGTTCAAATGGAGTTTTTGTTAAAAGAGCAAGGAAGGATTTACGGGCTAGTTAACAGCATCAATCGTACTTTGTATTCATGAAGGTACACTTGATCACCTGACCTTGAGAATCAAAGCAGAAAGATCTAAAAAGAAAAGTAAACAGTGGCGCTTAAATGACTTCCAGCTGCCGCTTAGTTAGTTGAGAAATGTGATTCGCAGAGCATCTCCGAGAACTATGGTATAACTTTGTTGTGAAGTATTTTGAAAGTTATTTTTCGAACGAATTGTCTCATCTTTTAAGTTTCGTTTTTGTTTCATTAAGTGGGTCAAAGTTAGTCTTGATTTTTCAACATAAATGTTTTCCTGGTTTGAACTTTTGTTTTTACTTGCACTTGAATTTATGCTTAGCTCGCGAATTTAGTTATTGTCATTTTAGGAATATTCCTCGCTTTCCACTTTCAAATGTTACTTTTTCATAGGTGCAGTCGTTTTTGTGATGTTAGAGCTGACCTCGGTTCATTAGTCTCGTTGAAAGTCCTGTTTGGTTTTGGTAACCAACGTTTCAGTTTTTCATCGGTTTGTAGCTTTTGGCCGATTGCAACCATGTAGGTTCAGTTATACCAAAATATTACCCCCACCTAGTTCACCTTGATTTTGATTCCCACGGTCAGGTAACCCAAACATGTTCAGCTTTGCGGGTTATACGGCGGCTATTTGACTAGTTTAGAAGGAAAGCTAGAAGAGTTACAACGCACTGGAGTTAGGAAAGTAAGGATTGAGTTAAGTGAGTTGGCAGTAGTCAAAGAATAATAAAGTCCAAGATGCAAATCAGATTCCTGGTGGGTCATTGTGTAGCAAGCACGTTGCTCGAACATACCCCAAAACTTACTATCTCTAGACTAACTTTTGCCGCTCTCTCGAGATCTCGAGCCTTCTCTGGGAGGTTAAGCAACGACGACGGCGACGGCAACGAAAACGACAAAACTGAAAATAGCTTAAGATTATAGCAAAACAACAACTTAACACGTGCATCGCGCTATTTTGTACATTTCTTAGCCGTCGTTGCACGACTACAAAGTGAAAGACAACAACTTTCTTTTTCTTTTGCTGAACTTCGATACAGTCCTTTAGAATTCAACTACAGAACATTTTAACGAACAGTTGACGAGTTAATTAAACGAGATGGAATAAGCGCGATCAACTTTGAAGTAGCGCGAATTCACTTTTTAAGTGGCGTTTTCTTAGCCGTAGCCATCGTTATTGCTTAAGCTCCACTATCTTTTACTAATGTAAAGACCGAGAAGATTTTGATGCACATGTAATTGAACTCAACCTCCTCGCTTGTGATTTTGGGTACAGGATTCCTTACTGGTAGTTAAATTCACGATTTTGGCGAGGCAATAAACAATTATGATGAATAAATCGGCCTCCGAGCGGATATGTGCTAACTGGCAATTATTGCAAAGTCTTATCAAAAAAGGCCAAACGTACCAACTACGGTCAAGTTTGTTCAGTCAGTGGTCTCACAAGAACCGAGTGCCCATCGTCGAAAACCACGTGCTTGCAAAACGAAACAGTTCACCGCGGCAGCCACTTTATTTAGCGACTGTTTGTAAAACGTGCCGTCTGTTTGAATTCGCGGTTTGTGAAGTCATTTATAATAACCCACTTATCACTTATAGTTTCCGTTTTCTTGTACATTTAAAATCAAAACTGTCAATACTTCCAAGCGTTTTAATCATGACATCTCATGTTCTTTTACTTGACTTAAGCTGATGCATAATCAACCAGTTGAACTGACAAGGTTTATTTTGCTTACTCGCAAGGCGGCTCTGCATTCTCCTTCTCTTCCATTTCACATATCTTTCAAAAGGTTTAGCCTTCGCTGCTGCTGTAGTTCACTTCCTCTCTATCTCGTTTCTCCCCCCCTCTCTCTCTCTCCCCGGCCTCTCTCCCTGTCTCTCTTTCTTCAAACTTAGACCTTGCTCCGAACTTGCTTCTTTAGTTCATGTTCACTGAAAAAAACCTTCTTACCAGCTCTCTATTTATGTTTGGTCACTGATAATATGTTGACGTTAATAATAATGCATAGGATACATTTCTTATTAACATACGAGTCACTTGTAACCTAAATTCTTTGAAAAGCTTTTCTTCAGTTCCGGAGCAGGAGAGCTACTAAGGAAAATTAAACAAGTAAAGTTCAATAAAAGAAACACACTTTGCACAGTTATTGTAAAGTTTCTTGAATATTTGAAGCTAAGACTCAAAAAGTACAAACTTCGTTTATGGTAAACAAAGGACAACTCCCATATTCACAAATGTGAAAACCTGAAGATAAATAGATAGGACAATCGACAATCCCTAAAAGGGGAAAGCGTTGTCAACAAAAACGAGCCGTAAACTTAGGCTTCCTTAGTTAATTACTAAAAATGCCAATTTTAAGGATAAGTGTTTTCCGAGGGACATCAAGTCTGGAGACAAGATGTCCCACTCTCAAAATGCACAATGTTAATAATATCTTTCTAAATGAAAACGTTATTAGTAAATTAGTAATTTATCATGTTTCTCTTTTAAAGGGAAACACCTAGAATGTTCTAGAACCTTATTTATCGAACTGCCATTAACTATCCAGTATATTTAAAATCGGGAGATTAGTCCTGTAACAACTATATAGTTTCGTACTACACGAAGCGCTCTTCAGATGAAATAGCCTAAGGGTAGATTACAACACTGAGTACGCTAATTAGTATAGTTAATGATTTGTAGTGATATTTGGCATAAATACCACGATGATATTTCGAAATTGTTATAAATTTGAGACAATTTCAGTTTGAAATATCACGAGTGGTATTTATGCCAAATATCACGCACAAATTATGTTATTATTTGTTTATACTACTACCCGCAAAAGGTTTGTTATTTCCGCTCTAAGCCAATCAAACTGCAAGAATTTCTCGTGAAGTAGTATAATAACTGAAAATTTAAAAATGTAGTTATTTCGGATACGACGCTGTTTCTATGGATTCTATTGTGAAACAGAAGAAGACTTGGAATTTTTCAACAGAAATTTGCTAGCGTGTCTACACGAAGATACAGTGGAACCTTGATATAACAAACCTCTATATAACGAAGTCCTCGATATAACAAATGATATTTTCTGCCCCAGTTATAGTAAAATGCATGGGAAAAAACCTCGTTTTAGTGAACGTATTCGGCCAGTCCTTTGGCCCTTCTTTAAATCGAGGTTTCACTGCCCTTGTTATTCTTAGGGGTTCGTCACGCGTTCCTGCCCCACTAACTTTTTTAGTGGGGCAGGAACGCGTGACAAACCCCTAAGAACGTCTGCGTGGGAGGCTAGGCTAGATGGGACTTACAGATTATAAAATTTTTCTCGCACAGACATAAATTACGCCATTTGGAAGAAGGTTTGTTGGTGATAGCCTGCTTCAAAATCTTCCAGGTGATCCGGATGTTAATGTCACTGTCTTTAAGGTTCCGTACATATTTACTTAGCTCTGGGTCTCATTCTTTTCTAGGGTTCACGAAACGGGTCTTGTCTTGATGGTGTTTTCAGTTAGACCAACGTAAGTCTCGTCAGGTTTGCTATCTTCTGTTGTTACAGTCCCTTGATACACCATGGATTTCCTGAGGCAATGACCATCAGTCATAGGGCAACCGGAAGGTTTTCTGCAGTTGCACAATTTTTGAGAATCGAACGAGGTGATCGAGTGCTACTCCCATTGTGAGAATTTATGGAAAACAATTTCTCCCTTAATAATCACTCTCGTTCAATTTTCTTCAAATAAAACGATTCTTATGGAAATGAATTCTAAAAGACTGTTTCTAAGTTTAAAAATGGAAATCGTATTCTGCTGCTCACTTCCCCCCATAAAACGTGAAATAGCCTGCGTAGCATGGCCGTTTTGGTTGGGTGCGCCAAGTAACTGCAAGGCGGGCGAGGGCAGAGAAACCGCGAAGCGCTTAGGGCGGCAGCAACTTGAAAATTATTTTTCGCCGCTCGTGCGCCCGGCTCGACAAAACCGCCATGCTACGCAGGCTAAACGGGAAAGAGAGTTTTACGCCGTTGTCGTGAAACAACGTTAACGGCCAAGGACAAAAACGTAAAACGAAAAGCGTGATGCAGGTGCAAATTAAGTTGTTGTTTTGCTAAACGTAACCTATTGATTTTTCCGTTCTCATTCCTGTCATCGTCGTATTTGCTTAAACTACCTCACTACTGGTCCTACTGTTTGAAGGCCTCCATCCACGTCTGTTTTTAGAGTCACGTTTCCAAAGCTTAGAAATTCTCGAGCACATAATGTTTCACTTGCAAGGACATGCGTAGAGTGGCCTTCATCAGTTGAATCATTATAAAAATCCCATATTACGTGCAGTCTTGGCTTAAAGGCTTTTTCTTCTCTTCCGACAAACGTTTTTTGAAATAGCTGTATATATATTTTTATATTTTGAAAGCGACCAAAACAAAATCACGTGGAATATTAGAACGTCCTCAAAAAGCCAGACGGCAACGCGAGTATTGAACGCGGATCTTGACTGTTAAAACTCACTAACTACAAATTTATTTGTTTTAATGTAATTATTTTTGAAATGATTAATGTATGCTTTTCTGATATTTTCTTGATGGGCTTACAAAAGTGTCTATTAATTTCGTCGAAAAAAACAAAAAACAAAAAACAGATAGATGATAGATACCATGTCGTGACACATCTTGACAGCTGACAACGAACAGGATGTCCATCAAAAACCACTTGTTAGCAAAACAAAACCACTCATCGTGACAGTCACGTTGCGTTGAGTAGCGACTTCCAAATCGGCACGCACTGACCGTACAGTAAAATACGCGGAGATTACGGGTACTTTTTCAAAAACGTGACACCAGCGGCTACAAACTTTGTATACCGTGACGTAGATCACAGGTCAGAACAAAAAAAAACATTGAATTCATCCCCGCCTCAAGTCTAGACCGATCCTCAACATGTTTGGTGAATTGTGCTTGAGAAAGCACATTTTTATGCAAAATTAGCTAACGTAAATACGTACTCAATCAAATTGTATTTTTTGATATTCATTCTCTTTTAGGTTCGGTAGACAGAAGGCATTGTAGACTAATAAATCTAACTCCGAATTTTCATTATATCAGCTGGTTGCTTTTTACACCCAAAGCTCCACTCAATCCTGATCCTGATATCATATGTTGCAAAGAACAGCCATTAAAGGGTAGATCGACTCTGACTTTGCACAGTACCGCAACTGGAGCTCTTTTACTAAAAAACGTTCTCGCACAGAGTAAATGCGACAGATTTTTAGTTTAAATCACTGAGTTGACAACAGTGAATACCAGAATAACCCGTTTGAAGAGCGTTGCAAAAGTTTCAGGTATTTATATTTAAACATACCACTAATCTTGAACACACCTTAAAACAATGCAGTACTTCAAAAGTCGCACGCGATGCACAGAATTTCGTAGGTAGTGACTGTCCACCGGCACATTTAGTGGTTGTCCAACTGTCAGTCAACTTTATTGTTGGAAGTTGACACTGTCAATCAAATTTTCTTCTTTCCCCTCAAAAGCCAGGCAATTGCTCGCAAGAAGAGTTAAGCGTTCGGCTCTAGTGCTTTTCTAGAAATTTGAGAATATATTAGAATTTTAATACTCCCCGGTTAATGATTACAATGACCTTGATTCATACAGTAGCACAAAGAAGGATATGAAGGTACTTAAGCTGGCAGTGACAAGTGTATAAAGGTTACCTCAGCGACGAAAAGAAACCTTATAAGTTTTACTTCAGGCAGATTCATTACTCGTTCTACGACTGCACGTTAGAGGTTCGTACTAAGAATGACTCATATCAGGTAGACCTTCAGACATAAGCTACACTGAAAATTCCAGTTTTTTTGTGGGAGGCGCTCTGACCCACATAGCGTTTGCGACAGTCTTGTCAGTACATTTCACGTTTGCTAACTTTAGGGTGTATGCCCTTCATCCTTGCGCAAACTGTAGCTAGAAATTCTCCCCGTCCATTCTTCTGTAACCCTGTAAATCCCAATAACAGTGCGAATGATATTAAGGTTCTCCTAACAATATCAATTTTAAAAAACCTAGAGAAACTTATTAATAATTAAATTAAGAAAAAACTCTTTTATCCTCTATCAAATGTTCTCAACTAAATCTGTAATGAAATCTATAGAGTTCACTTTGGAGAATTGTTTATAAAACTTACCTCAAGATGAATGACGAACGTTATCTGGCATAATCTAACGAAAAAATTAAAAGAACGATCAGAACGTAAGTTCCAAATGATGCCTGCAAAGTAAGTCTTAAAACTAACGTTTTCAAAAAAAAAATGGTTTATTTTAAACAAAACAGCGTTTACAAATTAGACCACGTGTGAATTGTAAGTGTGTTTTACCACCTGTACCCTCCACAGACACAAAGGTAGGCTAATTGCAGTTAGTGTGCTAACGAATAAACCAATCGATCGAATAGTCAACTCTTGTGAGTTATGTCGAAAACAAAAGTAAACATAATTTTTGACTTAAAGTTCAATTTTAGGGTCCCGGATAATTGAAGCAGCATTCAAGGTATATCTAAAGTTATGTAAAATTATGCCACATGTTTTTACCTAAAAAGAGATTAGATCGTGGTTCAATGATAAAAGGGTACATATTGTAGCTCTAGAATAATCACGACACATGGCATGGCACGCAAAAAAAAGCAGTAAACCCAAAACAAAACAGTACCGAATGCGAAAAATCAATTTTGATTTGTATTGACTGAACAGTCTAGTATTAACGTCGCGTTGCAGCAAGGAGATCAACTGCTTGATTTCCACTCTTTCCGAGAAGATTTTGAAAAATTTAATATTTTTGGTCGTTGTTGTTTTGCAGGGGCCGGAACAGCATGTAATATATCGCATCAACGTGTACAGGTGCTAGCCCCAACAACACTTGGCTTGTTTGCATGAAGGGCGTGTTAACACATATAAAAACCCAAGAGTAAGCTCTCTTGAAAAACCTTATACAAATTCCTAATTAAACTAATACTAAAATTTCTTATGCTACTACTACTACTACTATTTCTATTACATATAAGTATATAAAAAGTTAACCACTATAAGATAAACAGCTTGTCAATACCCAACTATAATATAATAAGGCTTTTAAACGAAGAGATTGACTCAGCGAGTTTTGCTTCATTCCGGAGCTGGATCCAATGGCACCGCTAAATTTAAAACCTCTTTTTAGAAACTCCCTTTTCGGTTTAGGAAGTGTTAGATCAGTTGTAGACTACGAGTAGTCCCCCATTTTCCCTCAGGGATAGTAGAGCGAGCAAAACGCGAGCGCGCGTGAAAATCAACCCACGCGAGAAAAGGCGACACGCGGTGGGGAGAGAGAAAAATGAGGGACTACAGACAAAGCCCAAGCTTTTGAACTAATGCGTTGCTCTCACAACGCAAAACTCTGATTGGCTCTTCCATGGAACTCTGTCAACATCTGTCAAAAACGCGCCAGCCGCTATCAACACTCGACATAATCTCAATTTACAGAACAAATAACTAGAGCAGAAATAATAACAGCAAAGAACAAATAACTAGTCAGAGTTGCTCTTGTAGAAGCAACTAAGAAGAAAGCCAACCCAGCAACTGATGAGGTTCGCGTGGAGAACCGAAACCATGGTCTTGTCTGATCACAAAGTGGGAATTGAATAACGGAACAGTCGCTTATTCAAAAGTTATCACCAAGGGAGGAACTACGCACTCCAGTCCAAATACTCACATTATCTCCAGAAAAACAAGCGGCAGTTAAAATTCATGTCATGACTGAGTCGCATCGCAGTTCTCCATAGTTGATGTAGTTTTAGTTTAAGCTGCAATCCATTCTGCAAGATTTGGATATCGCTATCCGTCCTGCTAAAAACGCTAACGAGCTGGGCCCAGCGTGACAAAACATTGCAGGAAACCGACACATTCACGGCCAAAAAGATAATCGCTTAAAATCATTCAGATCCAGGAGGCAATCGCCGGAAAAATTAAACAACCCTAGACCCTTATTTAGCCGCATTGAAGAGCTTTACTTTTCAAAAGAAGTGAAATAAAATGCTCTTGCATTAGTGGGCAAATCATGCCGACCATAGACAATAACCGCAGAAAATTAATATACGTGTCACGACCTCTCATTATGAAATAAGCGGCAAAAATCAAATTTGCTCAGTCAAAACGTTTTCCTCCAGAGCATAATCTATCCGTCAGAAAAAAAAATTCATTGGAACAAGCAGCATTTTGGCATGAGTAAAAAGTCGTGTGTTGCCTACACTATCAAGTTCTTCACGCGAAACAACTGTCAAGAAAATTAGTATCTGGGTTTTCTTTTGCTTGCAATAAGTATCCCCCGCAGTTTACCAATGACAAGAGCAATGACAGCTCAATGAGGGAAGGAAGCCGATTGGATGCGCTTAATTGATTTGGAAGGGGATACGAACTTCACACTCCGAAATCAGTCGGCCGTGAAGGGTCAAAAGCTTGGGCTTTGTCTGTAGTCCCTCATTTTTCTCTCTCCCCGCCGCGTGTCGCCTTTTCTCGCGTGGGGTGATTTTCACGCGCGCTCGCGTTTCGCTCGCTCTACTATCCCTGAGGAAAAATGGGGGACTACTCGTAGTCTAGATCAGTAGCCGTGTTACATGGATGGTAATTCATTCCTTCTCAGAAAAGAGTTCCTTGGGCCGGGGGCGGTGTGATCCTTTAATATTTTATACATTAAAATTGACTATACACATTGCCGTCGATCATCAAGTGTTTGCCAAGGAAGAAAGTCAATTAAGTATGCGGAGCGAGTATCATGACTGGCACCCGTGAGAACTCTAGCAGCACGTGACTAAAATCATTCCAGCTTATCTTTCAATAATTTGCCGCAGGTGTCCCACAAAGGAGTACAATACTCAAAATATGGCTGAACTAAGCCCTTATAAACTGTTTCCTGAGAAGCTACGGGAACGAAATTTTTGATACACTCATGGCTCCTATACCAGCGCTAACCTTTCTACAGATCGAATCGACATGACAGTCCCAGCACAACAGGTTGCTCACTTATCTTATTGTTCAGATTGTAGGAGGACCCAATAAACAAGAGTTTTGATTTAGACGGATGCATTTGAAGTTTATTAGTCTCGCTTGCGAAAGCAGCGAGACTGATAACCTGCAACGCGTTTTTCGCCCGGAAGGAGGGGGGTAGTCCCTTACATAGGCTATATAGGTATGTGCCGCGCCAAAGAGTATGTTTTTTTTTTTTTTGCCGTTTTAGTCTGAAATATAGGGTATCAATTTCGACCATCATTTTGGTCTGAAATAGGGTATGGTTTGTGCAATCTAGTCTTGAATTGGGTATGTTTTTTAGAACAATTAGCTACTTCTTTATCACTTGGCGATAAGGCCATTTCCCTTTTAATGGTTACGCCAACTACCGTGTACGTGCCGTAACAGCTTGTCACTGTATGCAAATGAGCATGCGATTTATTTTCGGCGTTGATTGAAGTGACGTGCCATGTAAATCACTTTTTGATATCTGACAATGATGTAATTTCTCTGGCATCGACGCCCTTGATTTTCGTGTATTTATACACTCGTATAGCCTGCTACCGCAGAGGTATTTCTGATCGTCGTTAACACGTGAAAAAGTATCGACGTCGATGAAGTAGGAAGTAAAAAAACGTTAGCGAGTAAATCATGTTTCTTGTAGAATTAATCGCCTCCTCATTTCTCGATCTAATCTCCAAGCAGGCGAGAATGAATGCCGCTGTAAGCGCGTTCTTGTTCTTGATGTGCCACTTTCGGACTTCAGCGAGATCAGAATTAAGCTTCACGATAAATCTGTGTGCATTGGGAGAGGAAGCGAAGATTTGTGTATAATCCGCATACATACATGGAGTTGTTAATTTTAGACTCTCAGGCAAATCGTTGATGTACAGTAGAAACAAAAGTGGGCCTACAGTATAAAACTGTAGGTACAGTAGAAGCTCCATACAACAAAGTGCCAAGGGATTATCAAGGGTAGTGGGAATTTATATTACACAGCGTGAACAAAAGATCCGTGTAATTCGCTAAATACATATATTATTAATATCAAATTTGGGCAGCTGGGAATTTTTTTCCAGCTCTAGGAAGTTAACATTAGTTCAGGTTCAGTGTTCAGTTATTTGTGAATGTTCTAAGGTACCGAAAGTTCACAAGTGTTCGTTTCTATTTTAAAACCCCCGGAACTTTTTCATGTTTCTCCGTTAATAGGTAGAATTCTCGTCCACACAAAGCGAGCGTACCCTGGCTCTGGGAGTTGGTAAAATGTCGTGGGTCGTAAGTGCGGGTAAATGTCGTGGGTAAACAAAGTATAGAAATATCTCCGACTCCTTGACTGCCCTAGCCTTTTCATGGCTTCTTCTTCGTCCTCTTCCTGATACTTTTTTTTAGCCATGTGGGACTTGGGTTCCGTTTCATAACATCACTGTATAAAGACATGTTGCTGATGAAGATTTATCCATACCTGAGTGTTCGCCGCGAAAATAAACGAAACAGACGTAAAATATGTCGAAACGTGCAATTTGAAGATAGTATGGGACAGCTCTGACTCACTGAATGGAAATAGCTGCTTACTGTAATTAATCTATATTCGATCTAAAATTCCAATAATAAGCGAAGATTTTTTAAGACGATGGAATACGATCACTGTGGGAAAGGGGAGGGGAAGTGAGGGGGAAACGGCAATTTTGAGCTATTTCATATGTTTGGATAGAAACCTTTCTTGAAGAAGCTTTAGGTCTCGTTAAAGTTAAGGCTAGACTGTATGTAAATTTTTTTGCCTTGCGTAAATATGGTTTTCTCGATTCTTTTTTGTTCTGTTTTTTTTTTTTACCCACGACATTTACGCACACCCACGACCCACACTCACACCCTCGACCAACGACCTCTATCACTACCCACGGCCCACGACATTTAGCTACACTCAAGTGGAGGTGACTAGTGGTGGCTACCGACACTTGAATTAAGTTCGACATAAGCACGGCAGAAGAACGACGTCTGAATCAAAGTTTTTAATTTAGTGCGGCAGAACAATTAAGTTCGACAAGGTCTGCCCTGCTACACGACTCTGGCACGGCAACGATGCAAACGTCGTGCTTTTAGGCCGTGTCGAACTAAATTCATAAATTTCGGAAATGTATTTTCGTGGGAATTGTTATCTCGCGAGTCCCGGAAAATGGGAGAAAATGTCTTTCAATGAGCATGCGCATTGATTCCGTTTATTTCCCCAGAGCCTCTATGCGCATTACAGCCAGGAATCAGAAGCGTGAGCACTGGGGTCGAGAATCGTTTAAAACAAACATGGCGGCTTTCCGTGCAAACTTTGCATGCTCCTTCCTCCTTGGTTTGCAGAGCCCGATAACTCATCAGAAGACGAACTAACTTTTGACGAAAATATTCCACTAACTGGCTATAAAGAACAAGAGGAAGACGAGGAAGCGATCGGCGATGTTGAGTCAGTGTCATCGCAAACGAGTCGTCCAAACTCAGGTTCAAAGAAAAAGGCGGGAAGAAGACCAAATTGAAGAGAAGACGACGTAACTGACCTGGTAGATATTGTGTGCAATAGTGAGTATTTTTAAAGAAAGATTATATTTAAGAACTCAAAGAACACGACAAACAGTGAGTTTTAAGGCAAGGTGTTGAAAGATTTGAAAGAACGGGCTCTTGCTCAAGGTGACGAATTTCCATTTACTGTAAATCAAGTGAGGAACAAATTTAAAAAAGCAGCTGATCAGTGAATGTTCAAAGGCGGCCCGGACTATTAAAACCGCTACAGGTATTGATCGCTTTCAAGAGAAAAAAAATTGTAGTCCATGGTTTGCAGTGCTATTTGCATTGGTGAAGACGTATGATCCCGGTCAGCCAGATTGCGCGATTGAGCCAAAAGCTAGCTAGTGATGTTTTGAGCAGAGGAAGAGTTCATTCATCAGCGTTATCAAGGCCTATACCTGTTGATGACAGCAAGGAAAGTGCTGGTGAGAAAAAGCTTTTTTTTCCAATAAAGAATACAGGAAAATAAAAAAGAAAAAAAATTACTTCAAGCGCTGTTTAATGTATGGAGAAGTTGTTAGAGAGAAACCTAACCAAAGATCTTCATGAGTTTTACCGCGAAGAGAACGAAAAGGCTAGAAAAACCGAGATGCAACTCATGCAAATGATTATGTCAGCACAACTGGTGCAGGATTCTGAGCGCCAAGGGTTTTAGGGTTTTAGATGTGTTTCACTGACCTAAACAACTATCGGCCTATATCTGTTATTTCTACCGTAGCCAAAATTTTCAAAAAAATTATCTATGACCAGCTATATCAATATCTAAATGAAAATGGTTTATTAAACAGCGGCCAGTCTAGTTTCCGCTCGCTACACAGCACTCTTACTGCCTTGTTGGAGACAAACGATAACTGGTGTGTCAATATTGATAGAGGTCTTCTTAATGGTGTAATTGATTGTAATCTTTATTGATTTGAAGAAGGCCTTTGGCACTATTGACCACGAGATAATTCTAAAAAAACTTACTAAGTATGGCGTTGATCAAGACGCCCTGAAATGGTTTAAATCTTACCTAACTAACCGTATGCAAAGGTGTAAAGCAAACAATCATCTATCTAACGCGAGCCCTCTAAATTGTGGCGTACCTCAAAATAAACATAGCATGTCAAACGCATTTTAGTATTTAAGCGGTAGATATAGGCATATTTTTATCACCTAAAAATTTTTCATCTGTTCGGATTTCCTAGCTGAAGGTCTAGTGATCCGAAAATTATCAAAACTTACCTATTCGAAAATTTCAGCCAGGAAAAGGGCTTCCGGAAATTCCAGGTGACCTTTTAAGGGTAAAACTCCGTCAAAATGGGCAATTATACCATTTTTTAGATGTTCGAAAATCCTAGGAGAGGCAGGCAAGCAAGAAATTTTACAAAAAATGTTCCGAAAATTGTAGATCTCTCTCCTAGAAAACCTCCTAACATTTTAGACGAATGGGACGGTTATTCAAAAATTTTTAAATTTCCCAAGCTTTAGAAATTTCTAGGCAATATATTTGCTCTTTCGAACAGTTATTTTACAGAAAAAAGTCGCTGGGTCCCCCTGACCCTTCAGCAGGCTTTACTCATATTATCGGCACATGGCGTTATTAAAAATGTGATAAAAAATACGAAATTTCAGCCATCTTTGGTCGATAAAAAAGTCTTCAAAATGTGGGGACTTCTGGGTTCTTCTTAACCTGCAAAATATTCAGGACTTCAAGTTGCTAGCGTGAGGTCCACATTTGGAAGACTTCAACATATAATCCAAAAAATCGTGAATATTCATGACCTTGTAGTGGGTCACTGAACATTTTGTGACGCGAAGACTAAGTGAAACAATGGAAATAAATGTTTCTATATGAAAACTTCGCTCTTAAGCCATTGCAAATCGGAGAAATCATGTCAAATAACAAAATAATGCAATTTTCTTTGTTTTACTGGAACACAAATGAGAAAAAAGCCGACGAGAAAACGACCGTATTTCACGATGTAATCTGCCATGTCTGCGATATTGGGTGATGCCTCTGGAAAAATGCATCATGGGATACTATTCGATCGTCGTTTGTTTAATGTCATTTGTTCTAAAAAACTGGTGCTTTAGTCTAGTGAAGACAGAAACTCAGAGAGACAGTTTATATTGGGTCTCCCTGCTTGTCCAATTCTTGATATTTTTAGCACGCTGAAATAACGTGCTGCGGTTTGTTTCAACTTAAATACTATTAGGTTCCTCCAAAATTGTTCTATGACTGATGGTGTTTTGAAAATACAGTTGACTCCCGATAACTCGAACCCTCGCTAACTCGAACCTCGCGCTAACTCGAACCAAAATCGATTTCCCCTGGATTTCCGTCATACATTTTCTGTAATTTTACCCTCAGTAACTCGAACATATAATTTTACCCTCGATAATTCGAACCATGTTTTGAACTCTTAAAAAGTCGGGGAAAAAAACAGTCTACTGGCGTCCGAAACATTGGATTTTGCATTTCCCATTGACGTATTGTGGGCATATAGTTTACTTGTGGAGGCTGATGTTGTTTGTCACAAATCTAACGTCTAACAGTTTTACTTCTCAAAACAGGAAAACGCATGCTTTATTTAGGCAGTGTTTTGTTACATGACGTTCTGATTTATAATCTAGAAGTATCTTTCAATTTTCACTTAACATTTCTACAGTTGACTGTGATTAAAATGTTCACTGCGCAGTAAACACTGTTTTTCCTTACTCGCGGCTATTTTCTTCGAGCTCGCGATAACTCGAACGTTTTGCGATTTCCCTTGAAGGTCCGAGTTATCGTGAGTCGACTGTGCCAATTTTTTAGTGTCCTGAAGTTATCTCATGAGGTAGTTGTGTTCCTATGTTGGCTAGATATTTGTGAACCAGTAGTTTGTTTTTGAATAATTAATTTTCACCCTTTGAAGTGAGTTGTAACGGAGAAACTGCTGTTGATATTATCAGAAAAAGATTAAAAGCAACAATTCTTGCTCTTATTGATTTGTTCATTTCTTGTTCAACTTTTATGTTACTGTAACTATGACAGTTTATTTTTTTTCGGTCAAAAATTTTTTTTCTTTCATAACAATTAGTATCTTCCTTGAAACAGGAAGGAATTACATGTTATATTAACTTTGCTAAAATGAAGCAAAGGAATTTTATTTTTAAAGACTGCCAACTAAATTATGACTCCGCCGCCGCCTGGTTAGCTCAGTTGGGAGAGCGCCGGTCTGCTGAGCGGGCGGTCACGGGTACGAACCCCGGCCTGACCACCACTCAGGGTCTTTAAATAACTGAGAAGAAAGTGCTACCTTTGTAATGACATCTGCAAACGGTTAGAATCTAGTCTTCTCGGATAAGGACGAAAAACCGTAGGTCCCGTCTCACAGCACTTACACTTATTTGGTTCTTGTGGGACGTAAAAGAACCCACACCACTGTTCGAAAAGAGTAGGGGATGTAGAGCCCGGTGTTGTGGTCAACCTTCACGCATCACATCATTCACATCATGGGTGGGTACAGTAAGCTCACAAATGGACTGAGAGCGGCTGCTAGTGGCGCCTTTTGTATGCTGGCGTCCGAGCTTACTGTTCACATGTTAAAATGTATTGTAAGAGGACACGTCTGTTGTTCTCTCATCCACGACTCTTCACCCATTCAATCAACAAACCAACATTCTTATTCTGTCAAACCCAATATTGATTACAGATTAGGTTCGGCACGGCAGAAGCACGACGTATGAACTGGGCAAATTAAACTAATTGAGTGCCGGTTTGATCTTAACAAAGTACGTCCACTTTTATATGGTGTTTACTTTTACGAGGGTTATAAATGGAGAGGCAATAACTTAAAAGAATTATAGCATGAATAATTTAAGTTCACCAAACCAAAGGAGAACGAGAAATAACAAATAACTAATTAAAGCAAAAGACTTACTTTTTCTCCCCTCAAACATGATCACAACAAACTGTTGCTATTGCCCGTCACGAGTTCCGTGTGAGATCATGTGCTGTTCCACCCGCCGCTATTTATGGACGGAAAACTTGGGGGCTATACGGTGGCCCGTAAGGGACATTACAACATATTTTTTTTACTTAAGTTATCGCGCGATAATTAGTCAGTTATCGCGCGATAAGTTTGAATTATGGCGCGATAATTAGTCAGTTTATCGCGCGATAAATTGCATGCATTATCTTGATGTTGACCCTTTCTTTATCATACTTAGAAGAAGTTATAGTCTAAATTTAAGACAGCTTAATAGGGTTCATTTCAGTTGCCAAGCTAGATTTCCAAGTAAGGATTACAGCATTTTAATCCTGAAGGAAAAGGGGAGTAATTAAGATTTACAATTACTATATATTTGTAATCAAGTATCTCTCGTTTCAAAACTATACAGTGAGAATCAAGCCAGGTTACTTCTTAGCTTAAAGTATTTCATTGTCCAGCAGTGGTCCCTTTTGTTAAGTGAAGTGAATAAAGGTTATGTTCTTGTTATGTATTTACAGAAAAGGACTGAGTTCTCCGGCGGATTAGCATGCGTAATAATGAACAGTTATCGCGCGATAAATAAGAAAATTATCGCACGATAATTAGTCATTATACCTGAAAGTCCTATTTACAAATCTACTACTACCACTACTACCACTACTACCACGACTACCACGACTACCACGACTACTACCACGACTACTACCACGACTACTACCACTACTACAACCACTACTACTACCACTACTACTACTACTACTACTACTACTACTACTACTACTACTACTACTACTACTACTACTACTACTACTACTACTACTACTACTGCTACTACTACTGCTGCTACTGCTACTGCTACTGCTACTGCTACTGCTACTGCTACTGCTACTGCTACTGCTACTGCTACTGCTACTGCTACTGCTACTGCTACTGCTACTGCTACTGCTACTGCTGCTACTACTACTACTAATGATAATGATAATAATAATAATAATAATAATAATAATAACAATAATAATAAGAGCAAGCTTGTTTTCGTTATCTGATACCCATTGACAGGTTAGAATCTAACCACAAACCCAGATTCCGAACGGGAGAATGTGGATCAATGAAAGAACGTCCAATAGTTATGCTATCAAATGTTGACTTTAGCGAGTTGCTGTCTGGTGCCCGTCAAAAGAAGTTCTGTTCGTTAGCATCGTTCATAAGTAACTTATCTTGAGACATCCAAAGTCTGATGACATCGTAAAGGTAGGGAATGGTGGTGCAGTCTCAGGAAGAACAGCGGACGGAGTATCATCTTCTATCTTCTGGTTGTGAATCAGTCCGCTGATCGGTCGGTGTCACGCATACGGATCGTATCTATCTTCTGAACAAAGCATTTCCCCAAGTTGTTAGAGAACGTTTTGCTGTCCAGATGAGATGGGAGACCATTATCAATTGTGCGCTAAAAAAGGCGCTGAACAGCACGCAATAGTTTCTTTTGATCACCACTATTTTCGTCTATAAAGTTACTTATTAATAACTAAAAAATTCCCTTCGAGCCTTACTCATAAGACGGGTAGTTACAAGATTACGCTTTGGTTTAAAAGCAGCGCCATCGGAATCCAATGGAGATTTCCTCCACCTCTTCATCAGCCTTCCTCCGTTGACGCTTCGCCTCCCTCTGATCTCCTGACTGAAATATGGAACACGAGGTCTCTGGACGATCGTTCTTGTCAACGGCGCGTGCCTGTCCAAAGCAGTTTGAGGGTATCGTCATGTTATGAAACAAACTGCTCCAAGTCATCTGATGGATTCTGGCGCGGCTTAGAAGACGCCAAATCCTCCTTATTCGAACAAAACTACGTTGACTGATTGCAATCTGAAGTAGTTTAAGGCCTGGGACTAAAGGGTTTACCGGTGGAAAATGATTTATTGGCAATAGCGTCGGCATAGATGATGGCGCTCAATCAAAATTTGGCACATATAAAGAACTCATCTTCCTTAACATTTTTTAAAATTAAATGTTGTGTTGATAAGTCACGTGATATGTCTCGTGACCATTTTGCTAAAAGTCGTAAATTATTTACCAGTTGGTGGCCAGGTTAAGAAAAGAAATCGATCAATAAGATTTCTCTACTTCATATTAAAAATTTCTAGCACTTCAATAAAAAATTGTGAGGGAAAACATCATTTTAAATGCCCAAATTTGATCTTGAATTATTTAAAACTTTAGTTTTAAACTTCGTGTACATTCAGTCCAAACGTAGAAAGTTAGGTATGTTTATTATCCTCTTTCAGAAATGCCAATTTGTTTATAAAAACAAAGTAAATTCGCCACCAATTCGCCAATATCCTTCATTTTCAATTTTTGGTCACGTGACATGTCAAGTGACCATAATTGAACGTTAGGCACAAGAAAACCCCAAATTTTACTTTTTGGGAAAAATTATTTTTGTTCTAGGTCTCCTAGCGAAAGATATTGCCAATCATTCACACGCGCCGAACTGACGCCTTTGACCGAGGCCTTAAACTCCTTGAGATATTTTTTCGGTAGGAAACTTTCCGCACAGAAAGTGGTGGCTTATAAAAGCGGATAGAACACAGCACATCTGCATGGTCAGAAATATACAGAGTATTGCTAAGTAACTGATCAGATTGATGTGTGATGAGATGATCAAGTCAAGGGTGTGGTCCTGAAGTCCATACGACTCCAGTAAATCAATAACTCACATATGGTTTATGGCGTCAGTGTCCACTGCATTATCCACATGAATGTTAAAATCCCCCGATATCAGGAGCTTTTCCTGGCAAAATGGTTGGCCCCTAAATGGGTATGTGCCGCTGTAGGGTATTGTTTTCCGAAGAAGTTTAATCTAAATCGGAGAGTTTGGGTCTAGTTTCTACCAAAGTGAAACTGATCGTACAGTTTTTTGTCTAGAAAAGGAAAACCAAAAGATAGACACCTAAAAAAATAAAATTGGCGAATTAAACATTTATCTGCGACCGAATGTTTTGAGAACTTCTTCCCTCTATGCGTCAGAAGCTGTTTGTTTAATTTGAAAGTACCCTTAAAAACAACTATTTATCCGTTCGGATGTCAAAGGGGAACTTTGGTCGTCTCAAAAATTTTAGCTGATGTTTTCGCGCGCGATCGTCTCATCCGAAACTGTTAGCTACCCAGAGGGGTTCGGTGGAAAATTGAATTTGGTGGAGCCGGAGTACCCTTACTTTCATAAGTAAATTATATAAGGGGTTTGTCTTTTTGCCAAAACTTTAAAGACATCTTTCTTAATGGTAATCGGCGAAATATGAGTTGACAATAAAATGCGAAAAACACAATCTCCCAAAATCATAGGTGAGTTGGTAGCAAACAGTAATCACTTTGACGAACAGAACCTGGATAGAACTGCTATTCCAGAAATTTTTTAGCTTTTCTCGAGCTAATTAAAAATTTCTAGGCAATATTGATTAATATTTGCTCCTTTTAACTGTTATTTAGGCTTCGTCCAAACGAATCTGGATATATTTTAAACCGCACATTTTTTGCTGCATTCAGGTCGAGTACGGCCTGTGCCCGAAGCCAGCCTCATTTGAGATTTTTCGATGTAAATATGTTTGTACAGGAGCCGAGTAATCGGCTCCTGGTTTGTATGTTTGTATATCACCGCATTTGCCTCGATTTCAAGTATGTCCCTCGAAATCGAGGCTCTTTAGTTCGCAGTCAATCAACAAACCTAAAGAACACTCTCGAAAACTTAAGGCCGGGGAGATATCCTGTTCCATGAAGAAAGCCACATTTTTGCAAGCGAAGAGTTTGAATTAAGCAACTGACGGTAAAAAGTTCCCGTGAATTGAAGCGCTACGTTTCTCAGAATATTTCAAGCAATTCCTGGAACTCTACGGTAAATAAAAGCTAATAAAGTCGGTCTTTTGGCTAATTGCTAGATTGCTTTATAAGTTATTAAGAGCTTTTCTGGAAAGTGTGAGAAGGTTTGTTCTCCCTTGGTAGTAAAACGTATAATACGGAAGCAAAGATTGAAAATCATTTGATACGTTCGCGAAGCGTTATGAAGGCAGTTAATTATATTGAATTCGATTGGAAATTAACCCTTTTACTTACTCCATCGCTCGCGATCTTATCGTGGGCAGGTTTCAGACAAATACTTTTAGTTACACCACAGAATACACAAAAAAGAAGAAGAAGAAAAGAACGATTAAAGTAGGGGCCTTCACGATGATATTTGCGGTGTGTTACCCATCTAGTTTCTAACCCCGCCCGACAGGGCTTAACTTGAGGGGCGGTATTAAGAATAACCTGTGATCGGGCGTTTTTTCTTTTTTTCGGGGAAAGGGGGAAAAAGTCCTTTTCCCCTCGTCTCCCAAACAAAAAGGGAAAAAGGACCGCCTGATCGCAGGTTATATTTGAAAAAACGAGTTTCGCGAGGTTTATTGCGCGATGCGTATTTCGACCTAATAATACGCTGATCTCACGGACTTTTATACAATGTAGCTTGATACAAACACTTACATTTTGGTTCAAATTTCAGTTTTTATCGATCGCATTCTTGTCATGTTGCGTTATATGCACAGTTATTTAACACTGTTAATGTCAAATATCAACAATCGAAATAACCTGCTACTGATTGCAGATAAAAAAAATAAGCGGTTTCAAAAATGTTCGGATTCGTGGGGACATGGCCTTAGAGAAAAAAAATCAAGTCATTATTTTAAGTGACTGAATAACGTTAGTCGATTTAAGTCGATTTAAGTCGATTTAAGTCGATTTAAGTCGGTTTTTCCCACTGGAATGTTGACTTTGCGAAGCTCTTTTATCTGATTCCCAGTCAACCCTGTCAGTCGAATACTTCATGGTTGCGTACACACTACACGTACATACCACGTAGAATAGGGAGTTTAAGATACCGAGACTACGGACTACGAACTACGGCTGGACGAGCATTGTCCTTTGTTTGTACGTAGCACTGGGTTGAGTAGTGCAAATATAGAACGTTAAGATTGCACTACAGACAGTAGACTACGACAGAAGAGGCGGAGAGGGAAACAACACAAAGATTTTCCTGTTTTCATCACAGTTCACAAAAATGCATGTCAGTTTTGCATGTGATCTTATCTTTAGAACAATGAACAAATTCTTCCATACTTAAAGAAGCAATTACGTCGGGTGAAATTGGTGAACAAAGTTTTGGGTACACAGGTTTTAATTTTTTCGCCCATGAATACTTATGTCAAGTATTAAGGAAATAGACAGAAATAGAGTAGCTCATTTATTAGATTTAGAAGATGGACTTCTGCGACTACTGATCTGATTTAGTTTGAAGTATTGAAATGCCGAGTTTCGATTGTCTCGAAGACGTTTATATCATTTTTAGTCTCGCTTGCTTGAGCAAAGCGAGACTCTTAAAATGCAGTCGTTTTTTTTTTTTCGGTGGGACCTAGTTTGTAGGCCCCGCGTTCCTAGCGAAGACCGTGGAAACTGGGGATAAGAATCGTGACGACTTTCATTGTATGGAAATAAGTCTCGTGATAAGAAAGCAGTTTATTTCGGCGATGACTGAAATGACGCATGTAAGTTTGGCAATGACTTAATTTTCCTCGAATGGAGGCCCTTGATTTTCGTGTAATTATGCACGACATGCAGGCACATCCCCAAGCAGGATGAGAAAATATTATAGCGGGGAAATCCTCAGGATTTTGTGGCTTTTTAAGGCGTTACGTTTCTCAGAATACTGTCGCAATTACAGGAAATATTCGGTTAAATAGATTCACTTTGTTTTATGTATTTAATTGATAGATTTTTGCAGTTGTTACGATGTGAAGTCGTGTTGCACTTCATAAATACTTGAGATATGAAGTATCCACTGTCACGTAATTTTTACGTGCGCACGTGCGTAAAATTTGCGTTCGCAAATAAAATAAAGGCAATGTATGAAAGGCTGCACGTACAATTATGTAAGCGTAAAAGTAGAAACTCGCTTAATTTGACGTTTAATCTCAATACTTTATGTCTTACCTCTATTTGATTTACGTGATTAAAATTTACGTGCGTTAACGTACGGAGCCAAAAACGCATCAGTGGAAATCCACCCTAACGTGTCACGGATGTGTTTATACGAGTAGCTTTGAACTTGACTAACCGCACACTCTACTTGTAACACTTCATGTCCATAGTTAATAGAAATCCCATATCGAGCTTTTCCGGAACGGGTTGGTCCAAGAATTCTATGGCTTGAAAGCGTTGATTATTTTGGAACAACTGATTACTTCAGTGGTCGAAAAAAAAGAATAATCTTAATGAGCAAAACTTCAAGGTTTACTGGAAAATCAAGATCGAGGATCGAGGATCGAGTATCGATAAATCAGGGATCAAGGATCGGTTAAAAAGAACTGGAAAATAAAATAAACAAATAAATCGTGGATCAGTGATGGTGTGGGCCGCAGACTGTAGATAAATTTCACAGAACATAACCCCGTTCGCTGTACTGAACGCTAAATTCAAGTAAACTAATCCGAGTCTGCCTAAGTCAGTGATTGTTTTAACGAGAAAGTGAAATTTTCCGGGAAAATTAAACGCTTTATCCTGGTGATACTGTAACACAAGAAAAAAACTTTTAATAGTCTTTAATTTTTAAGTGTACATTTGCTTTCAGTACTCCTTATTTTTCTTGTAATTGTTGTATGCACGACCCCACCAGCAATGCTGATCTTTTTATCGTGCCATAAACTAAGGTTCCTACCTACCCACCTACCTACCTACCTACCCACCCACCCACCCACCCATCTACCTACCTACCTACCTACCTACCTATCTATCTATCTATCTATCTATCTATCTATCTATCTATCTATCTATCTATCTATCTATCTATCTATCTATCTATCTATCTATCTATCTAAAATGCATGCTGTGTACAACTCTAAACATTGTATTCTGAGATTGTACGGAGATATTAAAAGTAGATACTAAGCAGCTATGTCATTACTTTCATGCGATATTGATATCGTATAAAAAGGACAACAAATTCAACAGGAATACGCGCGAACTGAATTAACTGTGTGTTGTATAAGGTTCTGTTCAACTTACACTTTTTTCCTGTGCTGAACATATACTGTACCGAGCCGTATCTTGGTCCGGTACAAAGAAGCTATGTATATTTATACTGACAGAGTCATGAGCCCCTGATACCGATAAAAATCATCGTTCAATTTTTCGAGTGTAAAATCCCTGAAAGAGTACTCCTCAATGGAGCAATATCAATATGTAGAAGGTTTTCAAAGGTCTCTCCTTGCAATTTTTACTTTTTGAGTATATACATTATGACATACAACACTCGTTTTGTATTCCAAACGAAAAAGTAGTATAACAGCACCGGAGCCTTTGACATTAAAACTCATCTCCAAGAAAGCGAGACTCAAAGCTACTAAGAGCGTTCTTGTCATTCAGCAAATGCGATACAAAAACTCGCATAAACAAAGGTTACACAAGTAGAAAGACACACTAATCAGTTCGAACAAACATTGAAACTTTTCAAGTACGAAGAGAAAGTAAATTACCTGCATGATTTCTCTTCTACTCGGCCGTCAATCTCAATTTTGTGTATAAATAGCTAAGCTTATTTAAATATGAGCTTAGCCAGATAAAAATGTAATCACAACAGTGGATTAAAAGCGTAAATCTGAGCAGAAATTAGACACAACTTACATATTTCGCTTCCCTCTCACTTAAAGCAGGTGAATTGAAAAGTTTTTTACGAAAAGACGAGATTCTTGAATTAACGAGACGGCAAAATACGAGCAAAATGTTCTCCGTAGTCCCGACTACGCGAAACAGCTCAACAATAATTCACTGTAGCCGCAGGACTACGCGGGAAAAATGAACAGTCACGTGGTTTTGATCATGCGCAGTAGCATGTTTAACCGTAGTCGTAGTCCGTAGTCGCCGTATCTTAAACTAACCAGTAAAGTCCGAAAGTCCCCGCAACTACCGATTGAGTCGCAATTCGAAATACTTCGTTTACCGAGAACTGAAAAGGGCGCCTCAAAAATTGAGTTTTTGTTTCACGTGTCCGGATACTGGTAATACAGTATGTTGCGCAGTATCCGGACGTTGCCACGTGTCCTCAATTCCCGGTCCTAGCCGGTTCAGAGCACACAAGTCAAACAAGAGTCTTCGCGAAATTGAGATCACAAGCTTAGTTTGAACTGGGTTACTACAATTCAAAGCTAGTTATCACAATTAAAACACTCCAAAAGAAAAGGCTGGCTAAATTGAAGTCTGTGGCTAGTCGATGACAAAATTGATACTATAATGATAAGCTCTGATATATATTTCAATATCAGAGATTAGCAATTGTGATACTAAATTCTTTGTTATTTTAATTACTCGCTAATAGGACATAGGAAGGATACTTGTGATAAACATACAGTTATTGCCAGTAGACAGTGACGGGCTAAAATTTTCATCAATCAAACGAATGCTTCAGAAAGAACTACCGGAGAACAACTCTCCTCTACCGATCAGAAACCAAAATAAAGTAGACAAACATGACTTACTTCAAATAAACCTCGCAGCAAAAAGCCGGCAAAGGTAAAATTGTTCCCGAAATTGAGTAACCAAACGAATATCCAGAATCTAAAAATGAGGTACTTCTTCGACTTCTTCCTACCTGTACACCTAAGCTGAACTTGTAAAGGCCAAAAAATAGCCATTAAATATTAGACCGAGCAGAATTATTTACTGACGTGGCATTATTATAACAGGATGACACAGGAATGGTTTTAATTTAAAGTCGAGAGTTGACGTGGCCTTCGTTCCTTGCGTGACCGTACAAACAATTCAAAGTTCAAAAAAAGAAAATTCAAAGTCCGTGAGTGATTATCTGAAAGTTCAGTAGCAAAGGAATTTGAACGTGCTAAAACTTACGGAATATAACTTAACAAAGTTTCTCACATGTTCTCAGTGCACATCCGAAGAGAAACGCACTTTCATAAGCGCATGTTTGACAGTCTTAGAGTGGACTCCATGTGTCCCCGGGCTATACAATTTCATGTTGAGTGCCGTGTCATTTCCTCCCTTTCGAGATAAGAGCCAACGTCATAAGGACGAAAAAAAAAGAAGTAGATAACACGATAAGCCGCCTTCAAATATCTGATCACGATGAAATGGAGCGTGGTAATTACAGAAAATGCACGGGGAAATCAAGGTTTTCTAAAAACTGATCACGGACTTCTTTGCACTCCAGGCTAGATTTAGCGTACTGTTTCTTTGAACTCGTAATTTACTCTTTTCAAAGAGAAAGCTTCAAATATATGAATTCAGGAACAAATAGCGGGGTTTGAATTCTAATACAAATCTTCTAATTTCCTGCCATCTTGCCGATTTAACTTGATACCCATGATGTAACTATGAGTGTGAACTCCTCTATTGAGATTAATCAGATCAATGCGATCTTTTTAACTGTGCTGGCCGGAAGCGCGCCCAGTTCAGTCATAAAATACCTTTTTTTACTTAACCTTATTTTCCTTTTCCCCCGATACTAAAAAAAAAAAAAAAAAAGAATGTTCCATCCATGTCCAATGTTCCGTTACTCTATCTCTAATTTTCCTTTCACGACCGCTAAAAACAAGCCGCAAGTCGTTGGTCAACCACTCAATATTAGGGAGCTTAAGCAACTACGACAACGACCACAACGACGACTAAAACAAAACAATAGGTTTATGATCAAAACAACAGCTCTGCACGTTCATTATGCTTTTTAGTACATTTCTTTGACGTCCACTGAACGACTATGACGTGAACCTCCTAACTGACCACTCCAGAAAATACCATAACATACCATAATACTCTTTGTTTGTCACCTCAAAATTTTGCATAAGCATTGTCTTCAGGTTCTCTTGAGAGATAAAATGGCCCCAAGAGAAACTGAAAACAATGCTTCTGCAAAATTCTGGGATGACAAGCAAAGAGTATTATTGTAAGTTATGGTATTTTCTGGAGTGGTCAATTTGACGTTTTATAGAGGACGTGGACATACGACGACGAATTTTCCTTCCTCTTTTTGAACCTGAATAAAATCCTTAAGAATTCAACTCCAGGAAAAGTCGCCTGCATTTGACATATTGACCGGGTCCAAATAGACGCAGTTAAGTTTGAAAGAACGGAAATTCACTGCCGTATTCGTCGTCCTTGCTTAAGGTCCCTATTATTTGTTTGTTTTTTTTTGTTTTTTAAACTAACATGCAAATCAAATCTCTTTCCCGTTGGTGACAGCTGATTGGAGAATCGTGACTTGTCCGTCAAAGAAACCAGTGGTCAGGGGATTCCCCTACTTTTTGTAGAAGGCATCGTCATCCTTCGTCATAACAGACGAGTACGTGCTTGGCTGCATAACAGCCGAGCATTGACGCAAGGGAAAGTGTTTTACAACTTTTTCTTTTAGGTTTATTTTGGCTTTATATCACCCAGAATAGTTTATATTGAATGAACTTTTAAATAAATCCTCAACATTACTGAATTTCGATAAGCGTACAGGTTTGCCTTTCCCTTGAAAACGATTAATTTGGGTTTACGTATGCTAAGAATGAATCAAGCTGACAAAGTGGTATACGGTCATCTCTCTCTTAAAGGACACCTCTATAAGACGGAAACTCTATACGACGGACACCACGGCTATCTACGACGGACAACGGGCACTGAAACCGTCAACAGACACTTGAGACTTGCTTTATGCAGTGAGAAAATACTTCAAAACGGAAATATGGGTGCTCTACACGATAGTAAATTGCAATATTTGGAATGTTTTGTACTCTTTCTCCAGTTCGCAGAGTGTATTCTGTTACGCTATTAGACAACAAAGTTTGGTTATAATGAACGTTTGATTGCTTAATAAGAAAATGATTCCATTTTTAAGTTTCAATGTTCCAGTTTTTGCAGTCAGTTTTCATAAGTTAAACAGACGATTGTCACGTTACCTTGACTCTTTATAAGCAGGACACCTGTCTAAGACGTAGTTCATCTACAGTCAGAAACATTTATCGATCCCTCTTTGTATATCATAGCCAGTGCAATATTTAGCCTGCGCAAAAAACGATCTACAATCATTTTGTTCGCAGTCAAGCGTCAAAGGATAGAAATTCTTGAGCTCACACGATCTAGCTGTCCATTTACAAACACACACACACATGGCCCACTTAAAGTTACAGCATAACTTAGGTGGTCCGCGGCCTTGATTCCCTGTCAGTCGGGGACAACCAACGAAACTGCTCAACACCAAATAGACTTAACATAGCATCGTTTATCCACATACAGTAGTTTCGCATTGGTCCTGCTACTACACGCTAACAGTATCGAAATATTAGAGGTTTTTGTTTTTACATCTCTTCCCAAAATTGGTTTTGAGAGTATTGAAAACTTTCTTGGGATGAGTCAATCTAATTTTTCTGCCGGCATCAAGAAGAAATCATAATAATATGCATCACATTGGGAGACCCACTGATTCCGCGGTCCAGAGTCAGGCCATGTGCATGTTTTGTGTCGTAACCTGTATGTGGAAACAAATTCACAACATCTTTCGTCATCTTTAAGTCCTTTCTTCAAATATTTCGAATATACTTAGACACTGGTTTTGTCTATAAGCTTACCTTCACACATTTGATATTTGGTTCCAGCAGATAATGTAATGTTGCCGTCAAAAGACGATAATATGAATACTACAGTTGTGTAGAGCAGCACACCTTAAGGCATCATAAATGTGCAAGCACTGCAGAAACCCTCACCTTGTGTTATAAACAGCACGTTTCCAGCCGAAAGGTTATTATGCGGGGCAGTTAAACCGTGGGCGCGTACAATCTCGAATCGATCATATCACTGTCAGATGGCAAACCGCGCGCGAAAGTGTTTCTTTCCGGCACTATAGTTCAGGTCTTAATGGGTCAGGAAGTATCACCATTCAGAGAGATCGGACGAGTTATGTAGAACCAAGCTTTGACAGGCATGTTTCTCATTTTCTATTTTTAAAAAAGCGGGTTTCACTTCTCGATTTACTTAATAAGCATCATTTAATTAAAAATATTGTAACTGAAGTTAATGAAATCTAGCTTTTAGTGGCTAATTTGAGAAACACAAAAACTCTAAAATAACCAAACGCAACAAGTTGAGTTCAATTTTTACCAGTGTTGATTTCTCTCGGAATTTCATTATTTGCAGATTTTTGCAGATTACCGAACCCAATCGAATTCGATTGGGTTCGATTACCTAACGTTCGATTAGCCAGACCGGAAGGCCACTTTTTTTGGCCGCCCTGCTAAACGGCCTTATATTTTCTTATAAAAAACCCTCGTTAACATGGTCACCCGTCAATATACGGCCATTTTTTTTTGGCCCATTGGTGACCGTATCAACGGGGTTCCACTGCTTGTTGTAAAATTCTAGTCTCACACGCGGACCTTCTTAGCTCAGGGGTTCGTCTGCGTGGGAGGCTAGGACTGTTCTCTCTCAAATTAAAGCGTGTCTTCAATTGCAACGCGATATTGGCAAGATAATGGTCATAAAAAAAAAAAAATTGTTATTGATATTCTATTCTCATAACACCCAAAGAAAATGAAACTTCATTCGGACTAAAGAATGTTGTTTTCGATAAAACACTATACAAATTAGCCTTAATGATTGTTCTTCTTATTAAATGTTTGCTTACTTCGCTAAACTGTTTATAAATAAAATAAAATGAAAATATTTTCACGTCAATAAAAATTTATTTCCCGGGAATGACGGGCAAAAGGTATAAAACGAAAGTTAGGCGTCACATGGTCAGCTACCGTATTTCCTCGAATAATTTAGGGAAGTAGTACCCTGAGACTTTTGTTTTATTTTCCATTAAATCAAAAAATAATCACATCAAATAAACTGAAAATGGGCTTTTTAAGTGTTCCAAATTTAGTTTCTTGATTAATTTTCAGAGCTTTAATCGTCACTGATCAGTTTTGCTGGATCACATGACACACTTACACTTGACAGGGATGGGATAAAAGGAAGAGGAGATGGCGAGCGGAGGGGGGGCGATTATTCGAGGGGGCGATTGCTTTAAATCTTTCCGTCAAAGCGGGGCGATTATTCAAGGGAGGCGATTAATCGAGGGACTGCTATTATTCGAGGAAGAACGGTATGTCCAATCACGCCTCACGCAGCTCTTATGACGATTTGTTAATACTGTTCAATTTGCCTCATTCTTCACTATAAGATTAAAACGAAGAAACTACTTGGAAATGACAAAGCTGACTGTTACAGCACGGTACGAAAGTCATGGGATTCAAACAAATATTGAGCTTTGAAAATTGTATTGTCCATTCAAGTTTTTAAAAACCACAATCGCAATCCGTGATAATCTTCATCAAGTTTATCCATCCGTGCCTTCTTTTGAATTTGCTGTTATTAGTTATAACGTCTTTTAATGTTTTGAGTGATTATTTTAATGCTTTACCACTCAATTTGGTGGTACTTCGTACTGTTTGAATTTTGGTAAAATAATTCCCTGACACAAGACCTTTTTAAAGATCGTAAATTATGTAAATTTATCAATCTATATATGTACAGTTTATATTAGCTTACTGTTTTATAATGACGACATTTAAGGTAATATTACGTCCCTTTACCTTCAACTTGAACACATGCACACTTTCGACTTGCCTTTTTTCACCTCGCATACTACCGCGCACCGGAAAACTGATTGTCACATGTCTAACCCCCCTCCTCCCCTAAGGAAAAAGAAACGGAAATGACATGGCATAAAACAGACAAAGTAATAAGAAAGTGGCTGTTCGTTTCGGTAGACGTTTCGTCGGCTGCAGACCAATCAGAGGCCGTTTCCCAACTTTTTTTAGTGGGGCAGGCGCGTGACGAACCCCTAACCTTGACGTCTGCGTGGGAGGCAACACGAAATTGTTTTTTCTATTTTTATGTTGTACGTCATTTCCGCCTATCCCTTTTAAAAAATTCTATTGCGACATTCTCCATCTACATGATATTGTAATTCCTATTATAAATTCAGTAACATCTGTAAACCTAAAGAAGGCTGGTATGGCCAGCCGAAATATTGTTATGAAAAAGCAATACACGTTGTTATGATCAGCTTTGCAGTACTCTTTGGACTTCTCCTTTTTGGTTCTCAATACATATTTCCCCTGCTCAAATTCCGCTCGTCATATTCCCCTGCTGATTCTCTTCAACATGTTTAACCATCCCCGCAAAACAACTCAAGTCAGAATTTTGAATTGCGATTTAATGAACTTACCACATTTTCTTGGAATTCATTTTCTTCGTCGACTGTTGTCATAGCGTAATGTCCTTCAGAAACACTTGTGAAGGCAAAACCACAACGACAAACCAGTGAGGGTCCGCCGGGTCTTTAGTCGATCTGGATTAGTAAAATCTTGAGTATCCAATAGCGAGCGTTGCGCGCAGGTGGTATTTATAGACCCGAAACTCGGACAAACAAAGTGAAATTAACATTACCGAGTTCCTCACTTTTGTCTGAATGTCATGTT